ACAGTATACCATAATACGTCTCGTAAACGGGTGTATAATAAACAGGCGTATAAAAATTATAATTTTTATTTAATGCAACATCCATCATGTCACAATTATAAAAACATCACATAAATATCTGAATTTACCACAAGTTGTTTTCTAAACAATTTTTTATTTGTTTAACCTTGTTTTCTATGTTCTTGTAAGGCAAGTAGGAGGTGGGAGGGGTATTTCGGTTTCTTTTACAACAGATTCTTAATTTTTTTGTAAAAAACTGTTTCAGAAGACAACTGGAAATATCTAGTTCCTATTAATAATAAGTAAAAACTGGGTATACTATACATTTTAGGTCCCAGGTCAGGGCAGATTCAGGATATTTGAAAAGGGGCGGGGGGGGGGGGGGTATAATTTTTCATAATTGCTTGGTTTAAAAGCTCCAAGTGAAGTGAAAAAAATTTTGATGATTTATCAAAATATCAAAAATTAATAACTCATGAAAATCTTGATATTTTTATTTTTTGGGCAATGAGCAGGGTGCATGTAAGCGTACTTTTATTTTGACATGGTTTTTTTTCCGAATACCTATGATCACTGGGGAATACAGTATGTCAATAGTGTAATTGAGATGTACTATTATTGATTTGTTTATTTATATTACATGTTACTTTCTTTAAACCGTTTATATAAACAAACAAATTGTACTTTGTATACATGTGTATTTCAAACGACTTCGTAAAATGTTTGTTCACAGTTGCTTGAATTTTAGTTTTTATCACTAAAATTCAAGCGACTGTGGTTTGTTTGATTCTGATAGGATTGATCTGGTCAATGTTTATCAATATGTACTGGTAACCAGATCAATCCTAGCAGAATCAACCAAAACATATGTATATAATAATAACAATCTGAGTTTTTCCACACTTGACTAGCTAATAATACAATTCACTTATGTCTTTTTTTAAATTTTTAGTGAATTTCATAATCATTATCTTTTTTATCCAGTAAATAACTAGAAATTTTTATCCATAGCACATCCCCCAAAAAAGATGAGCCTAATTTTTTTGTTGTTTCCCCTCAAGAAAACCCTCCTTAGAATATTGCTTTATCAGGATTGTTACCTTCATAAAATCACTAGTGTAAATAATCATTCCTCGGGCAAAATCACTAGTGTAATCATTCCTGGAGTGCCCCCCTTTTTTGGGAAAAATTGGTTGATTATATAGGGAATCACTAAAGCATGACTGGAGCGGGCCCCCTCTTATGAAAATTTCTGGATCCGCCACGGGAGCGTCTTTTTACCACAGAACACCCAAAATTTACCACAGAACTTCGAAATATTAATACTTCAGCCATTATTATCGTGTTATCATGGTTATTGTTAATTTTTTTGTAATTTGACATTTATTATTCAAATAAATATAATTTTTCTATTTAGAATCGACTCACTATCGCTACGCCCCCAACTGCTGAACAGCCAATAATTGGGATCATACCAAAATCCTCTAGCTATTAAAACCATAATATACAAAGATAATTTATATTTGTGACATTTATATTTTAAATACATTTTAATCTTTTTGTAATTTCAAATCATTTTTTAAAATGTTTAGATGCATTACGTAATTATTTGTTCAATTTAATTTGTTTATCAGTTTTTTTGGTCACTTTTTTATTAATTTTATGTTAAGAGTTGTTACGATAAAAAATCAAAATGGTTAATGTGACATTTAATTAAATTTGTTGTCAACAAATAATTAAACTTTATTAAAGTGATTAAAGTAATTAGTTAAGCTGATATCAAGAGTTGTTTCAAACAATTATTTTAACTTGGCTAATGTTTGTACATCAAAGTATTCTCCATTAGAGTTATATATAAAACAATCCTGTGTTAAGGGCTACCAAATACTTTCAAAAAAGATATCTTAAGTTGTTGTAGGACAGTAATATTTGAATTGACTAATAACATATTATAAGTGTGTCTTTTTAATTGTCAAAAAGTTCAAGTTCGATGACTGTTTTTGGACTCTTATGTTGTGTGTGTATCTTCTCCAACCATTTGACAATATTTCGGATTTTTACCAAATTTTGTATGCATTTAGAATTCGTTGAACTGAAACTTTATATCGAAAAAACTGGTACATGTATATGTAGCATTTACATATATAGATTCTATATTTATGAGTCCAAAAATAATGTTGACCTTAGTAAGTTAACCGACACAATTAAAGTACCAAAATTTAATAAATAGATTAACCAATTTTGACACTTGTCGTAATCACCAATCAAGCCAATTAACATGTCATTTAAGTTTTCACACCTGAGACATCAAATACATTTAGTTGAATTACCTTATATAATAAGGTGGCAACTAGAATCCAAACAATGAAGAATTTTGAAAATATTCCATTATCATGATTATTAATGATATATATATTATATTAAATAGAATGTTGATAGCAGTCTTCCTGTTCTAATTATTGTCAAGTTAATTTCAAGAATACAATTTTTATAATAATAAAAATTCATGATTAAAATGTGAGCCGATGATCACCATCTATTTAGTTGAACAATTAAAATTATTGTCTTATAGGTTTATTAATTTCACAGAAAAAATAGTTACATATGAGAATTATTAACTCTTCCTGCCAATCAAGTCAATATTATTCATAGCGTGATTCGTGCCGGTAAAATCCTTTAGGTCAACTTTTTTTGTAGAAATTTTTTTTTTTTACTAATATATATTTTCATATAAAATATTCATTAATCTCGCAGATTTCTTAATTTAATGAAAAAATGTTAAAAGAAAAAGCAATATTATACAATTACTGTCTTTTGATGAGGTAAATGTGTGGTTTTATTGACTTTTGAAAAACTGATATTCCCTGAGGCCAGCGGCCGAAGTGAATATCAGTTTTTCAAAAGTCAATTAAACCACATATTTACCGAAACAAAAGACAGTAATTGTTTTATTCCATATTCCGAAAGAGAATCGAGAGAAAAGTATGTAAGGACAATTCTTTACCAAAACCAATTGTACATCAAACGTTTTTAACATAATTATACACGTAAAAGCACGCGACGTTTTGCGCAGTGAATATACTTTTTCCACAGGTGAATATGTGTATTTATTCAAAATCCAATTCATAAAGAAAAATCTACTAAAGTTCTGTCAATATGGAATAATAGCATGTATGCACTTTCTGTCGATCAGATCAATATTATTGGCAGCGTAATATTCACTGGTAAAATCTGTCAGATCAACTTTTTTTGTAGAAAAACATGTTTTATTTATATAAAGTTTGTAATGGTAAACAACATATTTAATAAACTGGCAGATTTCTCAATTTCACAAAAAAATATTGTAAAACAAAAGAGATTTTAACACTTTTTTTCGATCAGTTCAATATATTCAAAGCGTGTATTAGATCTTATTAATCGTGCAGTAAATTTTTTTTGCTCAAAACCATTTTTTTAAATGTTTATTTTAGATTTTCATTATTACAATGCATTAGTTTAGTGTCTCAAAGGTCTCCAAATGTAAAAAAAATATGCCAAATAACAAAAAAGTTATATGATCATTTTTATCTCATCCAGTCAATCGTCATGTCATTGGTGTTACCCCAGTTAAATAAATAATGTAATTCTGAATTATTAGATTTGCATTTTATAAAGTAATTCTAATGTTCTGTGGTATATTTCAGTAGTTTTATTGTAATGTGTGTAGTTCTGTGGTATATTTTGTCTTTGAGTGTTCTGTGACTGTGGTATTCTGTGGTGTTCTCTGGTATTGTGGTGTTCTGTGTTAAAAAGACGCTCCGAACTGTCACTGCAGGCAGAAAGTAGCATTTTATTTCTTATATCCTGTATAAATTGTTATTTGAAGTGTCTGAGTAGGGGTGTCCTTCATTTCTGTATGCCATTTTTCTCTATTCTCTATACTTTTTGCCTATTATTTTCTTTTATTCTGTATACCCCATCCACACCCTCTTTAAACTGTCTATTGATTATTATATAAATACCTAGTCCAAATAATTATGCCGTTTTGTCTGCTTTTTGATAAATTTTTATTTGGACTAGGAAGGCGTAACAGCAAAATCAAAAATAGCCTTTCTAGACGGCATAATTTTTTGGACTAATAAATACCATAACCATTTAATGTAAAATTGTGCAAATATTAAAGTATATTTTGTTTTAAGTACAAAGGAGAAACTACATTAGTGATTAAAATTATACAAGAGAGGATAATTTACAAGAGAGATTACCCTGTCATCACGACAAAGATTGAAGATTGAAGACATTTTGTTTATCCCGGATCGATATGGTCTATTTAAAACATGGTTCCAGTACTACCAAGTTTTCATGAAGCAAATGCGTGAGATTTGGCCAAAATTGTAAAGATCAAAGAGAAAACACAATAGATCAAAGGAAAATGCCGCCAAATATGCATGGTGAGACTTGGCATGCAGCCCTGTGGTTCCCCCTTTTTGCTATGAATTATATTCATTCATGTGATTACAAACGTAATTTAAATTTGTTTAAAATGTTTGCTATTATATCAAACTTCACTAACACATCAGGAAACAAATCCATTCTATTCTCATCTTTTTCGAGTTTCAGAATCCCAAAGATGAAAAGGCGGGAAAACAAAAATGCTGGTTATTCCCCTTTGCAAGAAAACGGTAGAGAATAGAAAATAATTTCTCTGGATAACATTTTTAACATGAGACATTGATTAATTCATGAGTTATTTTGCACGTCCACTCACTGTAAAATATTAATCTACCGGGTTTTTGACAAACACGCACCTTGTTAACCTGATCTAACCTCGGTTAACCTTTTGTCATGTGGTACTTCTTTAACCAATCACGTTTGTCTGTCTAATTTGAAGTTGCTAAAACACCACATGTTTTTAAATTTGTTCACTGTTCTGTGGTGCCTTTTACTATCCAGTCAAGGTCGTTAAAAACTTCCATTTTGTGGTGCCTTTAGTATACTAATAGATATATTATATAACTTACCCAAGAGTGTCGCTGAGTACTCTTAGGCTGAGAGTTACACGGTTCTGTGTACAGCACCGAATTCCAGGCTCCTACAATCAGGGAACACGTCTGTCAGTTTGGCCGTAGGTATTAACTCTGAGGGAAATCCCGATCATTCGGAAATCTCTTGACAAATTGTGTTTGGTTGTATGTAACCGGCGTACTCCACATTCCTCTCCCTTCTATTTGATAGGATTCCATTACCGTTCACGTTTTCAGAATTAAGAGTTGTCTAAATTTCTTCTGCAAATTCAAGAAAGGTATTATCTAACATCAAAATATCTTAGGTTATCTAAAGCCATTAAAACATGAACACACAAACACATTAGTGGCAAGGTTCCGGTGCAAAAAATAGTTGACATGCATTTTATATTTATATAGAAATAACATTGTGTCTACTTGTAGCCAGCAGATTCTATAAGTTTTATATAGAAATTACGTTAGTTTCGTGTACCAAGATCTGTAAAAAATACTGGTTCTGTCAATTTTGATAAACGGATTGAACCAAATAAATTCTTTTCTAACATGAAATGCATTTAACTGGATGAAAATACCCTTGAAACGTTTCCAAGCAGATAACACTTCTATATAAAAAAGAGGTGCTTTTAAATTTAAAAACTCAAATTCACATCAGCTCATAAATAAATCCTCTAAATCAAAAAGGGGGAAGAATGCTTTGGAAACATGTTTCCATTTGGAGTCATGTTCTGACAGAAATCTTTTTACCCACATAATACGAAAGGATAACAGCTGTACTTCAAAATTTGGGGCTTTCAGTCCCCCCTCGCTAGGAGACTTTTGAATAACTTCCGATTTAACTTTCGGAGTACTACCATTCCATAAAAAACTATTAATGTCACGTTGTATTTTAATTACATAAGATTTTGGTACATGTGTAGATGAAATGACATAAATATATAAGCTTCGATATTGCAAGTGATTTAAGAATTACAATTTTACCGATCAAGGAAAGGTTTCTGATCCTCCACAGTTTAATTATTGATTCCTTTTTTTAGCTCACCGGGGCCCGAAGGGCCACATGTGAGCTTATGCCATCACTTGGCGTCCGTCGTCTGTCGTCGTAAACTATTTCAAAAATCTTCTCCTCTGAAACTACTAGGCAAAATACCTTCAAACTTTAACTAAATGTTCCTTAGGGTATCTTGTTTATAAATTGTATCCGAAGTTTTGATCCATCGACAAACATGGCCGCCATGGCTAAAAATAGAACATAGGGGTCAAATGCAGTTTTTGGCGTATATCTCAAAAACTAAAGCTTTTAGAGCAAATCTGACATGGGGAAAAATTGTTCAATTGGTCAAGATCTATCAGCTCTGAAATTTTCACATGAATCAAACAACCTATTGTTGGGTTGCTGCCACCGAATTGGTAGTTTTAACAAAATTTTGCAGTTTTTTGTTATTATTTTGAATATTATTATAGATATATATAAACTGTAAGCAGCAATAATGTTCAGCAAAGTAAGATCTACAAAAAAGTTATTATGACCATAATTGTCAATTGACCCCTTAAGGAGTTATTGCCCTTTAAAGACAATTTTACACAATTTGTTCAAGTTTGCTAACATTTAAAAATCTTCTCCTCTGAAACTACTGGGCCAATTACCTTAAAACGTTAACTAAATGTCCCTTAGGGTATCTTGTTTATAAATTGTATCCGAAGTTTGTATCCATCGACAAACATGGCCGCCATGGCTAAAAATAGATCATAAGGGTCAAATGCAGTTTTCAGTGGCTTATATCTCAAAAACTAAATCTTTTAGAGCAAATGTGACATGGGGTAAAATTGTTCAATTGGTCAAGATCTATCGGCCCTGAAATTATCAGACGAATCGAACAACCCATTGTTGGGTTGCTGCCACTGAATTGGTAGTTTTAACAAAATTTTGCAGTTTTTTGTTATTATTTTGAATATTATTATAGATATATATAAACTGTAAGCAGCAATAATGTTCGGCAAAGTAAGATCTACAAAAAAGTTAATATGACCAAAATTGTCAATTGACCCCTTAAGGAGTTATTGCTCTTTAAAGACAATTTTACACAATTTGTTCATCAAGTTTGCTAACATTAAAAAATCTTCTCCTCTGAAATACAGTTGAGCGATTCAGGCTCTTGAGAGCCTCTTGTTCTATGCATGTGTCTAAATTAGAACAAACCATTTCTTCAAAAGCATTAAATTTTAAACCTAAGGTTTTAAAACCATCTGTCCATTTAATAGGAAGGGAACCTTCTTTGTTAAATTTATTTCTTCCAATCCATGTTGCTTCGGTTTTAGAAAAATTGACTTTTAACCCTGAACACTTCTCAAAATCGTTAAAGGAATCTAATAAAATTTGCGCGGAAAATACATCTTTCAAAAAACAAGTGGTATCATCAGCCAACTGTGAAATTTTTATTTCAATATCCCCAATTTTTATACCAGATATCTGATTGTTCTTACGAATACTTATTGCCAGCAGTTCAACGGCCAAAATAAATAAAAAAAGGAGACAAAGGACACCCTTGTCGAACACTTCTCAATTTTGAATGGACTAGAACTAAATCCATTATTAACGACAAGACTAGATATATTTGAGTATAAAGTTAAGACCCATTTCCGGAACTTGCTACCAAAATTAAAACAAACCAATGCTTTTTGAATGAATTTCCATTCTAGCGTATCAAACGCCTTTTCGAAATCGACTAGTAATATAAGCCCTGGATAATTCTTTAAAGTAGTAAACAATATAATATCAGCAATGAGTCGTAGATTTTCACCAATGTATCTACCAGCCACATATCCCGTCTGGTCCGGATCTATAAGTTTTGGAAGAAATAATTTCATTCTTTCCGCAATAACTTTGGCTTATAATTTGTAATCAAAATTTAAGAGAGAAAGAGGATGCCAGTTCGACAAGAGTGTTCTATCTTTATCTTTCTTTGGAATAAGAGTCAGAATACCCCGTCTTTGGTCTATTGAGAGGGTTCCGGTTTCGAAGGAATATTCATAGCTTTCTAAAACATATTTTTTTATATCAATCCAGAAAAATTTGTAAAACTCAGCAGTTAGCCCGTCTGTACCAGGGCTTTTATTATTTTAAAATGTGTTCAAAACTTTAACGCACTCAGATTCTGAAATATCTGCATCGCATATATCCTTTTCCAGATCTGTAAGCTTAGGAATAAAATTTAAATAAAAAAAAATAGAATCACCTGAATATTTATCAGGGTCTTCTTTTTATGAGTACAGATTTTCATAGACATTTCTCTCTTCGTTTAGAATTTTTTCTTGTGACACAATTTCAATGTCGTTTACAACTAATTTGTTTATATATTTATTTTTATAATTGCATTTTTCAAATGATAAGAAATATTTTGAATTTCTTTCATTGCCTTCGCAGTGCTCGGCGTGTGATCGTATAATAGCCCCCTTGTTTGATTGTTTACTATTTGCTCTAAATCTTCTTTAACAATGTCTAATTCAATCAAAAGTGTATTTATATCTTTATCTAAATATGTACGAGAGAGAGTTTTCTGAATTTCGTCTTGTCGTTTTTTTAAACTGGACTCTCTTTCCCGCAATTCATGTCTGTCTGGCAGGGTTCATATGACGGTGACCTCATTTTCATGGTTCATTGATCAATGTTAAGTTTTCCTGGTTAAGTTTGTTTTCTCAGATACTATTTGCAATAGGTCAACTATATTTAAAGCATATTAGGTGTATGGAATGATTGTAAGGTGTACATGTAGTTCCAGTTTGGTTTATCTGACCTTGACCTCATATTCTTGGATCATGTTAAGTTTATGTGATAGTTGTAATAAAGCTTTATATTTAGGACTATCAACATAAAATCAATGGTTAGTCAAGAAGGCGAGACATTTCAGCGTGTGCATTCTTGTTTATAAAGTTTTGATCAAGGCCATGCTGCATCTTAAACAGATTTAGGTCACTACAAGTGGCATACAATATGCCTCTGGAAAAGAGGTTGCCTATAAATTCTCTTTTTTTTTTTTTTTGAAATCCAATTTCAATATCCCCCTCCCCCTTTTCGATTTTCCAACCATTCTAAAATATTTGTTATACTTTTTTTTGCTAAATTTAGTTTCAATGATTATCAAAGAAAGAAAACAGTTAATCTGAAATTATAATCTCACATTTAACCCACCAAACTTGCGTTGGCTCAATATATATATTGTTACAGATTTTTATGATCAATGAAAGCAATGAGGTGTTTTATTATCTTGTTCAACGACATTTTTGGAAAAAAGTAGAAAAGCCGGTTTTAAAATCAGTATTCAATGTATTATTTATACATGAAAACATGGACAAAGATGGACCTTATATTTCTACAGTGTATTACACAAAACAAAGATGGACCTTATATTTCTACAGTGTATTACACAAAACAAAGATGGACCTTATATTTCTACAGTGTATTACACAAAACAAAGATGGACCTTATATTTCTACAGTGTATTACACAAAACAAAGATGGACCTTATATTTCTACAGTGTATTACACAAAACAGAGAGAGAACAGCAGTGATTTCAGAACAAGTATTGAACGAAGTGTGCAATCTGAAGGTATTCTTTTTTTTTCTTCTTTTTTTGAGGAGGGGTTAAGTTTTTTTTGCAAGCTTCAATTTCTCCGTTTTACCTTCAATCCCCATACGTTCTGTCGTGAGGATCTGACGAGGATTCCGGTTTGAGACAGTCACATTTGTCAATACGTTGGGGATGAAAAAAAAGTCTGGTCTCTGGTGAATACTACAACACATAACTGGAGTATAAATACAAAGTGGTGAGTTGAAAGATTATTCCATGAAATAATGCATGCATTCAAATAAATGAATATTTACAATACAAAAAGATGATAGACAAGTTAAATTTCCCGAAGATAATTTGAAGATGGAAACTAACATATATAGACACATGGTTCTTGTTATGGTGTGAAATCTATTAAATATGCACCTGATTTTATTTCGTTTTATATGATTTTTATTTATCATGAAACTCTGTTATTTTAGACAGTGGTCTGCAAAGTACAATAGATGATCTTCCGTGTACTTCGGAGAGGAATGTTGATCTTACTAGAAAAATCTAAAAATCTTAAACAGCCGATTTCAGCACTATTCGGATTTCCTTCTTTCGATGAAATATGTGATAGAACTAAAAAGTTTAAAACAGTTCTGAAAAGGGTGCCAAGTGAGGTAATCACAAGTCAGGAACAAAAACTATGTGAACAAGGTAAGCATGAACACTTTAGTAATTTTAACCTGATCAAAATAACATTTGTTGTAAAGAATATTTACTGTGCAGCACACCATAAATAGACAGACATGTGTAGTGTTTAATTCTGATAAATAAGTGATATTCTTCAGTAACTTCTGTCGATGCAATAATGAAAGCACGTTGGTTAAGTGCCGATTTTTTAAGCTATTCCACTAAATAGGAACCAGTCTACAAGCTTCGCCTAATACAGTGGTAACAGGTTTTTACAATAACTTGTTGAAATTTAGACCAAAAATGACAACAGACAACAACATCATTGTAATGCTTTTTTCTGCTTTCTAAACTTTACAGGCAGTATCGAAGTTTGTGAGACAGTCGAAGAATTACCATCTACTATCAAACGAATGGACAGTTTGATGTCACAGGATTTCTACACAACATTATATACAAGCTGGGAAGGATCCAATAGATTTGCAGAGTTTAGACGTAAATTTGGGGAAGCACTTAGACACAAGTATTTCAGTTGTAAGTTATTTCGTTTATAACACCGCAATAACGCCTTTGATAATCGTTCTATGTATTTTTTCAAAGGAGTATATTAACGAATGATTGTAACTTGACGTTTGGTGAAGGAATTCTATGAATATTGACAAATGATTGTAACTTAACATTTGTATTATGCATTTATTAAAGGGTGTCCTTTGGCCGGGGAATGAAACTTGACTGACATTTGTTTTATGTGTTTGTTGAGCGAGTCTATTGATAAAGGATTGTAACTTAACATTTGTTTTATGTGTCTCACAACTTTGTTGACCGAGTCTGTTTTATGTGTTTGTTGAGCGAGTCTATTGACGAGTGGTTGTGATCAAACATTTGTTTATTGGCAAGTTATTGTAACTTGACATTTGTTTTATATATTTGTTGAAAGGAGTCTATTGGCAAGTTTGCAAACCCTTCAGGAGCACCTGAGATCACCCCTTGTTTTTGCTGGGGTTCGAGTTCCTCAGTCTTTAGTTTTCTATGTTGTGGTTTCTATATTGTTGTTTGTTTTTCGGTCGTTTTTTTGTTTTTTTTGCATCGCCATGGCATTGTCTGTTTGTTTTCGACTTATAAGTTTAAATATATCCCTGTTGTATCTTTCGCCTCTCTTTTATTGAAACATAAACGAATAATCACACAATGTCAGTCCACGTGGGAAGCTACATGTATATCACGCAACACGGACAGGTTATTCTTTCTCCAAACCAACATGTGTTTTTGTTTGATGTTTTTCTGCTTTGTATCGATCTGATGAGTTAAGCCTTTTTCAACTGAGTTTTATAGTTTATTCTTATGTTGTGCTGTTACACCGCTGTCCCAGTTTAGGGGAGGGTTGAGCGCTCACAAACATATTTTACCCCGCCACCGATTCTCTATGTGCCTGTCCCAAGTCGGGAGCCTGTAGTTCAATGGTTGTCGTTGATTCATGTCTGTCATATTTTTTTTTCGTAAATTGTTTTGTTATAAATTAGGCCGTGAGTTTCCTCAATTGAATTGTTTCACATTTTTCGTATCGGGGATTTTTATAGCCAACTATACGGTATGGGTTTTTTCTCATTGTTGACGGCCGTACGGTTGCCTATAATTGCTTACATCCACTTTATTTGAACTTTGGTGGATATTTGTCTCATTGGCAATTATACCTCATCTCCTTATTTTTATACTAATAGGCAACAAATTGCAATTATAAGGTTGTTGGTCTGATCCGGCCGCGGATCATTTCTGCTACCTTTCACACTCTACGAATCGACCACTGAGGCAGTGCAATCATTCGAAGACCAATTAAAAAAGATGTGATATCACAATGTTACTCAACCACTGAATTCCACTAGAGAAATGTATATGTGTCTCTGATTCCACACAATAACAATTGATACCCTCGGGAGGGGTTTTAGTTAAATATGGGTTGGATGAATTATATACAGCAGAAATGTTGATTCTCCAACTAAATAATGTGCCCACACAATCATGACTTAATATAACAATATAACTATCACTGTATCTTTCTTTAAACACTACGTATATGTTTTTGTAGATTGTCGTTTTGATGACACCGTTTTCATTGGCATCTTTGTTGTATATGGAATGTTCCTCGTATGTGCAGGTATTTTTTTACATAACTCTTAACTATCAAAATTATGACTCCGGCTACCCACTATTCTGATTGGCTGAAGTCCATCTAAAGCGTTCTCTGATAAAATGTAATGTATATTGCTTACGACGAACGCGCTGTGAATATAACGTAAAGAAAGACAAAAAATCTTTTTAACTCGGGCATGACTTCTGTTGGTTTAATGTTCTTGTATCCACCTAATTCAAGGTCATTATCTATATAATATTTCTTTGACTATTGTGCTATATATCCTTTTATTTTGCTGAAGAGTGAAACAAGCCGATGATAAATTATATTTCACATGGAACTATTATATCTTACTATGTATTCACTATAAATAAAAAAAAACGAAAAACGGAAGAGTATTACGTCGATTATTTATACTGTAATCCATCCATATTGATGATACCAAACACATCCGTCCAATTACATACATACTGTACTTTGTACTCACATCCATCTATAATGATGATACCAAACACATCCGTCAAATTACACACATACTCTACATTGTACTCACATCCATCTATAATGATGATACCAAACACATCCGTCAAATTACATACATACTGTACATTGTACTCACATCCATCCATACTGGAAATCAATCTACATATGCTGCACAGTGGTGGATCCAGAACTTTTCATAAGAGGGGTCCCGCTGACTGATCTAAAGGGGGGCGGGGGGGGGGGGGCTCCAGTCATGCTTCAGTGATTCCCTATATAATCAACCATAATTTTTCCCACGAAAGGGGAGGGGGGGGGGGGGGCCGGGGCCCTGGATCCGCCTATGATACACATATTATGTTAAGTATAATTATAAATAGAGTCTACATTGTTTCATTTGATATTAACTAACTATTTTTTTTTTATATATTTTTAATTGTAGGAACATACAATTATTTGTCGTGTAGATCAGACATACTAACCAACATTTACTTTATCACGGACGGAGTTCTATCGGTTTTTGTCTTCCCTGTTCTTGTTATGAGCTGGAAAGTAAGAGTTGGTGGTTGTGTAAATGAGTCTGCCAAAGTAGGTCCAGGAACAGTATGGTATTCTGTTTTAGTGGCGAGGATCATGTCTTCTTCATTAGGTAAGTACATTGAAACAAATTAGGCTAACTGGCATCTCTAAGTTCAGTTAACAAAAATTCCACAAATGAAAGTTTTCCATTAGTTGATATATATTATAAATAATTTGGTTTTTTTTTTCAGAACTCTCAGTCGGTCAAATACAGACTCCAATTGAAAGAAGAACGCCAAGGTAAACACAAATATTTGGAGCACGAAAAAACGAAAAACGTCTGAGATCTTAGCCACAGGGGACTAAAAGATTAGTGAAAATGTGTTAACTACGAGTTTCTATTCAAATATACGTTTGACAAGTCATGCAAATGCTTTATTATCTGCTAAGAAATTATCCTTGGAGAGTTGTATTCCTCGCAAGATTGATGGGCTTTCACTGTCGATTTCTATTAGTAGTAATTTGAAGTAATAAAGTCGTGAACTACTGTGTTTGAAGCATTTTTCTTCTATAGTGTTCTCCAGCAGGTACGCTCATGTCCAGAATGTTTTAAATTAAAAACAAAAAACAAAAAACAAAAAACAAAAAACAAAAAACAAAAAACAATGAAAACACCGAGGGCCAAAAAGTTTGCTCAATGAATTTGGAACGCTAATCCTAGAAAAAAATGACATTTAAATTGTAGAGTACATAAAACTTACAATCAAACCAAGCAAGAATCATTACGGAGTAGAGCACAAACGAAAAGTTCTTTATTTACTTTTTTCTCCATATAAATCAGTTGAATATTTTCATAATTTTTATTGTTGATAACTATTTTTTAGCTATTCAGCAGACATTTATACCAAACCATGTAAATATTCTAAAGGAAGAACGTCATTAAAAATTAATAAATTTTATTTTGCTACACTTATTTACATAATCAGCCCTTTGTTTTTCAGGTGCTGTGATATTATATTATAAGGTTAACAGTTTTCCAGAAAAATTAACATGTCAAGTAGGCTATTATTTGTCTTATACGGCTATTATCCTAGAGTGGAGTTTTCTACTACTAGCAATCTTCATTCCGCTGACGTTGTACGGTGTCGCTTACTTCTGTGCACCTGCATACAATACACACAACAGACAAATAGGATCGACTTGATGGAAATGTTAACTAGTTACATTGTTTACCAAACGTTTATTGTGGTTTTATGGAATTATTACAATGCTCTGTTTGGACTGTTCCAACCCTGGAATGTGAAGGACCAGTCTCCGAGAATATAGTCTGTGTATCAGGTTTTTTACGTCGAATTGAAGAAAATATTCGCTTTCTTACTTGTTCCGTTAAACAAACGTAAAACACAAAGTTGGCAAAACCTTGAATACTGTCTCCGATCCCCTGTTGAATAGATAAGATGGTGATTTTGAAAACGTTTTTATTTATTATTGGAAAAGTGCGAGAAAAGTAGGAAAAAAATGACTGAATAGGAATGGATTGGACATAAGTCATGCAATCGAGAATAAAAAAAAAGTACTAAAAGCATGACATTGTGGGTAACTGTAGTATTTTAAAAGTGAAGATGAATTTGCTATTGAGTAGACATGAAGGGGAAACCTTTCATTTTCATAACAATTTTAAATTCAAACGTCCTTACTAGAAAAAGGGGGAGGGTCAGTTTGGAAGAACGGCGCACAGATAAACTACAACTAAGGCATATATGTCTTAGCTGTAATATCTTATTTCGATATACTTAAAATCATCCAAATGTTTACAGGAATGGTTTCCTTGTTATTAAGTACCATAAACTCTTTCGAACTTTATAAGTGTTAGATTGAAGTTCTCAACAATTTTATATTAATAATTATTGTTACAAAATTTTTCATCGGGTGTAGAATGATTTGAATTTATTAAACTTAAAAAATTTAAACCTTTTCAAGGATTTTTCAAAGTCCAAAAATCTAATCACATGAAGTTAAAACATGGTTTTAATTGTACAGTATTGTCATATGACCAAAATTAATACAAATATAATGGATAATGTTAAGCCGCTCTACTTCATTGTGTTTCGATTCTTCTGAGCAATGTCCTCTCCAATTAATACTGTAATATGTACATTAGAATTACCTTTATACATAATTATGTATTGTATTGCTTCAGCTGTTTGTACAGGAAAGTTTAAAGCTGTTAATATTCATCATTTTTCAAAACGTCCTAGCAATTTCTTCTCCAGTTAATACTGAAATGTGTGCGTTAGAATTAACTCCATACGTAACATATTTTATCTACGTCAAACTACCTTTTTAGATTAGAGTTTTATGTATGTTATATATTCAGACATAGAAGTTCAATAAAAGCTTATTCATTAAACAAACAAAAATATCATGTATATGGCCTACTTGTAGTATGGCAATCCATCTTGAATCTCCAGAACTGGCATAGTCGTGAGCAAAAAATCCCAGCAGAAATCTAAGGGTACCCCAAAATCTAAATACTATAAATACGACAGGTACAAAGGTCAGTTTCAAGTTGGCTTCCTGTAGTGCTGCTTTCCGAGTTTTCTTTGCTTTGGTCATTGTAGTTCTCGACTGTAAAATATGGTGACTGGACATTAATGTAAAATACTGATTGATCATGTAAAAGGAGTTTAAGAGAGTAAAAATGCTATAAATTATGCAAGTCAGATTTAATCTAAAGACCCTTTATTTTCTGTTATATAGTAATTATTGCAAGTTTCCTGCGAAAATAGGTCATAATTTTTGAATGTAATGTGCCGATGTAATGGGGTCTGTTCCTTAAATTAAACTTCCCTTGTATAGTAAATCAACATGTGGGATAAACGTTAAGGAGACAGCAACACACCAACAAAATTTAGAGGGCAACATCCATTCTTCATCAATAAATAGGAGTCTATATAATATATCAAGTTCTAAATCGTCCAAAGTCTATACGAGTTGTAAATGAATTAAGCAATCACAGATCTTCCTTCAACGCACGACATAAGATAATCATGCACTGATGAGGTAACTGACTTAGGACGTGTACATGGATATGTCTATACATTTTCTCAACAAAGGTGAACGACAAAACCATATAAATAAAAAGAAGTGTGTAGTTAAAGGTCAATTAGATAGAAAATATATAGCGCCAAAAGGGAAAAAAATCTATACAATATACCAAATACTAAAACGCACCAAGTCTTATACACTTGTGAATAGATTTAACATGGCCATCATAGATCTCCAATCGACATCAAATTCACTAAAGAACAAACACATAAAAGATGACTCAAGGAATGCAACCAAAGACAATGATCCTGACTTAAGATAGGCATATGAAGATGTGGTGCGGTTAAGGTTATATTCTTGTATTTCATTCCTATCCATTTTATACAAGACCAATGAAATAACAAAAGGCATATACATTTAAATATCAGTACAGTACAAACACTGAACGCGACAACTATATAATAGGCAATAAAAAAAATAAATACTACCTGATCAAGAATGTTCGACCCTTCTGCTGTATTTGATGTGGTTTACGTGGCTTAGTTTTATGGAGTGTTGTTTGTCTGTTAGTTGTTTGTCTTTTGGTCATGGTGTTGTCTGTTTTACTTCGACTTATATGTCTTTTCATTGATCCCTTGTTATCTCCTTCTTTCTATTTTTTTTTTACTAAAAACAAGCTCAAAGTATACTTAACTTGCAGATATAAAAAAAACTTGCCGTCCTTCTAATATCGTCGACTGTACTCTGGAATAGCTTTCATACACACCGAAAATAATAAGCAGTGCCGGTAGACGCTTGTGCAGTGTCAAAAGTAAATAATAAGCAGTGCCGGTAGACGCTTGTGCAATGTCAAAAGTAAATTTGTTTATTTCAAAAATATTTTTGTCTCATTTCAAAATATAAAATAATTATTTAGTATGTTCAAATAAAAACAAATGCAACGATTAACAAAAGTAGTCAAAAGGCTTGTCATAATCAGTGCGTTGAAGGTATTGTGTTAAGATTCGATTTTCATAATTCCTTTCATGTAAATTTACAAAAGTGAAACTTTTTCACTGCAATTATTGTTAAGTGAATATATATTGTGAGATCTGAAAAAAAACTATGTATTATAACTGGACTTGCCTTTCTCCACAAGAAGACTTTTACCATTGAATACAGTACAACAGTCGCAATATATGTGCATATCTCCCAAAATTTCCCAGTGAAAAATTGCCAAAATAAAGCATGTGGTACTCGTGGGTCAATCCAACACCAACTTGGTTGGTCGAGAGTCGTATCATATCCTAGTATGTTGGTTGACAGAGCGATGATAGTAATCGTAGCTGTAATTCATTAAAGACACGTACATTATGTTTAAATTCGGTTTAACTATTTTACATGTATGTATCTATATGAATCAATAAATAATCGTTGCCCGAAATAAGATCATATTATTAAGAGGATTCTGAATGAATGTCAATGAGGCAGTAACACAAAAAAACAAAATAAGAAAATCTAAAGAGGTTATCATGTGGCCTAAGCCGTTTTCAAAAACAAGTGTCTTAACTGTAAGACAGGCCGTCTATCGAACCGAGTATACGCATTGTCAGTAAGATTACCATATACTTGACATTCAATCTGAGTGTGCTAAAACAAAACAAACAAAAAGAAACACACGAAGCGACAGAAACAACCACAGCTGACGAGATACATGACTATGGACGTACACACGCACGTGACATTATTAAACTAGTTTTGTTAGTACTCTATCCAGGTCTTTTTCTAATCAGCATCCGTAGAATGGCTATAACATTATAACTTTAATCTTTGTCAATAATTTTACTGAAAAAGAAAGATGTCTTAAGGACAACTCTTAAGCTTGTCAGTTGCTTTAATAGACACAATTCTTTTTAAGCCGTGACATCCCATTGCTTACACCTGACCTGTTCTGGGATATTCCATAAGTGGATAAAAACCACTATAGCGTACAGTCAAATACATAAACTAAAGTTAATTTGTTAAGAAAACTTAGTTACTAGTAGTACTCACCTGGTAAAATCCAGCTGATAATATGGAACAGTTTCATGTATTTGGACGCAAATGACGGTGACGACCTTACAATACTAAATACCAAGCTTAAACCCATTATGACTGTCCATGAAAACGAACTGATACTAGAATAAATAGTCATGCCACTCTGTATCTTACAGTAGGCCATACTTTTATGAATGACAGAGCTGTCACGATGTATCAGCCATATTACTCCAAGAATATTCCCGAAAGCCGTCAGCGCGTCCATTAGTGATAGGTACACCAATAGTCGTCTACCAGGTGTTCGTAGATCTTTATATAACACGTAAATAAATGTTATACCCAGTCCTCCGAATATTGACAGAGATGATACTATAGCGGTCAGTGTTATGTAAGGCCAATCAAGTCCATCAGATAAACTTCCTGTCCCATTTACAGTAGCCGTTGTAGAAACTACGGACACAGTCTCGCTACCATTTAGTACCATGCTTGTAGTAACGATGAATTAATGCAAAAAATAGCTTGGGTTGGGTGTACTCTCTTATAATATATTGAGATTCTTTTGCTATATCAGCTTTTGTACCTTTCAGAAAATCTATAAAACGATTTATTTTGTTGATATTAGTGCACCATCATTTTCATATCCATTTGCGTTTGTTTTTAAAGTTTTTGACCGCAATAACTTATCTATGAGTCTGAACTGAAGCACACTCACGCTATTTCCATACCTATTGTTCCATGGAAACTATCTATAGAACCTAGATACCAGTACTTTGATACTCCAATCCCGTCAATACATCGCTGTTTGATTGGTTTTAAATTAATTCCACGTGCATCTATTCACCCCTGTTCGCAGGAATCAAGATCAATTTGTTAGAAATTTATAAAAACCACTCTATAGAACAAATATACCTGAAAACAATATACCCAATGGTATTGATACATACCATGCAACACAATTAGCAAATCGTGTCTATTTTTTTCAACTTTACAAACCTAAAGTTGTCTTATGCAAACAAAGAAAAAAGAATACAAGGCTGATTCTATCTGTTGAATGACAAATAAAATGGACTTCAGATTGAAGAAGTATATAAATAGTTAGAACACTATATTGGTAGCATTAATACAGAACATAGATAGAATGTTTCTTGTTTTGTCTTTAAGGTAAAGAATGACATATTGTTTAGTTATAGTAAAGAATGACATATTGTTTAGTTAAAGTAAAGAATGACATATTGTTTAGTTATAGTATTTTTAGGTTCACCACTAATAACACATGTTATAAAACAAATGTACCATAAGATCCGTATATAAAAATATGAGTTATGCTGAGGTGTAGTGGACAAAATTTTAAAATTAAAGTCCCTTCAACACTAAATTTTATAATAATACTTTACAAGATGCCACTTGGCCAGAAACTTGAACATCCCAAATTATTTTAACCAGAGATTTCAATTTAAAGTAAATAAATCTATATCTATGGTTTAACTTGAAGGACACATATATCCATAACACTATCAAAGTCAAGCGGAATGATTCCTTGTGTCTTTATTATTTCATAGATGATACTTTCTGTAAAAAGTATGATTAAGTATGACTCTCCTACTTCTAATCACAATAATCTGTATCAATGAGATATTGATCGACTATTTCATTGGAAGTCAATTAAACATCTCATCGAAATGAGGTTAATATCACCAAGCAGTTCTATTCTCTGACAGAAGTATTGGAAAGAAATTTGACCAAAATGCTCTGGAAAAGCTACAATCAAGTCATCTATTTAAATCCAATATTATATGGAATCTTGGTATACAAATATCGACGACGTATTTAGAAATTTAGTTTTATAGTATTGCAATCTAATTAAAATATAGAACTCGGATTTCGTTATACTGCATACTCGTATTGTTAGATTGCTGGATCAATGACGTATACCCCATATCGTATTCTTCATTCACAAGTTATTCCTTGTGAAAATGTTTGGCTCTTTCTAAGAATAATGGGGAAAATCAGTTCGATTGTTCACCATCACAATTACAAACTTAAATGAATAAATAAACTAAACCCTAGTTCCAAGTTAAAAAGATATGTTTCCGAAGTTTTTGAAGTATGTAAGTGCCATAAAAGCAAAAAGAAGGATTGCAGCGTCCAACTTGAATGTCCAGATTACCTTAACCCACACCCTAACACAGACGTATTTCTCCTACTGGACATTATTCTGTTTATGAATCTCTCGAAAGGTACAAATGATACATATAGATGTATAAAGATGTAGCATGATTGCAAATGAGACATCTATTACTGTGCTTATTCAGTAGGCTTTGGGGTATTACAATAGCAATGGCTAAAACGGTTTACCAAGTTGCAGTTTGAATTCTTCTCCAACAAACTGATCAACTGGTAAAATGTTTTAACAAATTGCTTCAGTGAAGGTTGTTAGTATGAATTTGGTAAACTATTTTGGCCATTGCTAATGTAATACCCCAAAGCCTAATGAATATAAGCACAGTAACTAGACATCAAAATGACGTGGATGTAAGCAAAAATAGGCTACCTTTAAAACTGAACAACACCCGTAATGTATAGTTAGGGAGCTACCATTTGATTTTCATGGGGGGGGGGCTAGGATGAAATTTGAAAAAAAGGCAGGACAGGAGTTTTGAATAAAAAAAAAGGCAGGATGAGCAACTTGGCAAAAAAAAAGGCAGGATGACAAATTATGTGAAAAATTTTGTCCTGCATTTTTTTTTAGTTGTAATCTCGGTCCTGTCTTTTTATTTTTTACTCTATTCGGTCCTGACTTTTTTTTTATTAGTTTATCCTGATTTTTTTTACATAATTTGTCATCCTGCCTTTTTTTTTGCCAAGTTGCTCATCCTGCCTTTTTTTTACTCAAAACTCCTGTCCTGCCTTTTTTTTCAAATTTTTAAAACGAGAAAACCCAAAGCCTGATTTATGTAAATACAATACATGTATACAAAATATGATACTACAAACCCAAAGCCTGATTTATGTAAATACAATACATGTATACAAAAAAATGATACTACAAACCCAAAGCCTGATTTATGTAAATACAATACATGTATACAAAATATGATACTACAAACCCATAGCCTGATTTATGTTAATACAATACATGTATACAAAAAATGATACTACAAACCCAAAGCCTGATTTATGTAAATACAATACATGTATACAAAATATGATACTACAAACACAAAGCCTGATTTATGTAAATACAATACATGTATACAAAATATGATACTACAAACCCAAAGCCTGATTTATGTAAATACAATACATGTATACAAAATATGATACTACAAACCCAAAGCCTGATTTATGTAAATACAATACATGTATACAAAAAATGATACTACAAACCCAAAGCCTGATTTATGTAAATACAATACATGTATACAAAATATGATACTACAAACAACTACAACCATTGAATTGCCTGACATGTTTGGTTCTTCTTTAATATCACAAAATGTATTGTAAATCATATCTAAAGGTTTTAGGCAGTCAACTAAATCTTATACTGGAAAGAACGTCAAGTCAATTTTGTGAAGGCTTTGTCTGATAGATTGATATTTGTAGTATCATTTATTGTATATTGTTTTTACATAAATCAGGCTTTGGGTTTTCTTATCGTCATTACAAAATATCAATCAGGTGGAATTAAATTCTAATAGGATTGTAAGTATACTTAGTGTTGAAGACCCAATGTTGGCCTTGGGCTGCTTTCTGCTCTTTGGTCGGGTTGTTGTCTCTTTGTCGCATTCCCTGTTCCCATTCTCAGTTTTAGTTAATCACCTTGCACTTTCACAGCTTGACTGTAGTTCTCTACGGCAGTTTGTTAAAATTTCTGACCAGTTGAACATTTTGGTTTGATAAAACAAATTGCAATTTGGTCAAAATTTTGAATAAACTGCAATAGGTGGAGAGCAACATTTACAGTCAAGTCACAGTAAAAGTTCTAAAAACATCCAGAGACCTTACCAATTTTAACATAATAGGTGTTATAGGACCACAAATTCTCCCACTCAGAACGTAAAAGTAGCCCTGACAAAAAATAATGGTTTTGATGTCATTGTTTACATAAAGTAACAAACAAATTTTCAAAAATAAAACTTTTGGTGAAAGAGAAATATATTTAAAAAATTCGAGCCAAAATTATCTTCTCCATGACTTTGCATTATGAATGAAGATTAATGCTCTTCATCGTATACTTAAGGGTTATCTTCATCAGTAGTTGACTTCCGAATGGTCGAGGTTCACTCCAGGACTTTAAATATTTGTTGAAGATTGGTATATAGAAATGCAGAGACGGTTAACCGAGCCGAGGCAAATTAATATTGACCTCTACTTAATCTATAGAGGCAGTATACTGTGGTAGATTATTGACAATCACTACATATATAGGGATAGTATACTGTGGTATATTACTGACCATTATTGCACTAAACTAAATGAATAAAGAATAGTACAATATGGCAGACTATCGACCTAAACAAAATAAATAAAGAATAGTACAATATGGCAGATTATCGACCTAAACTAAATGAATAAAGAATAGTACACTGCAGTAGATTATCGATCTAAACTAAATGAATAAAGAATAGCACACTGCTGTAGATTATCGACCTAAACTAAATGAGTGAGGAATAGTACAATGTGGCAGATTATCGACCCAAACTAAATGAATAAGGAAAAGTACAATGTGGCAGATTATCGACCTAAACTAAATGAATAAGGAATAGTACAATGTGGCATATTATCGACCTAAACTAAATGAATAAGGAATAGTACAATGTGGCAGATTATCGACCTAAACTACATGAATACGGAATAGTACAATGTGGCAGATTATCGACCTAAACTAAATGAATAAAGAATAGTACACTGCAGTAGATTATCGATCTAAACTAAATGAATAAAGAATAGTACGCTGCTGTAGATTATCGACCTAAAATAAATGCATAAAGAATAGCACACTGCTGTAGATTATCGACCTAAACTAAATGAGTAAGGGATAGTACAATGTGGCAGATTATTGGTCTAAACTAAATGAATAAAGAATAGTACACTGCTGTAGATTATCGACTTAAACTAAATGAATAAAGAATAGTACACTGCTGTTGATTATCGACCCAACTAAATGAATAAGGAATAGTACAATGTGGCAGATTATCGACCTAAACTACATGAATACGGAATAGTACAATGTGGCAGATTATCGACCTAAACTAAATGTGTAAGGAATAATACAACGTGGCAGATTATCGACCTAAACTAATTGAGTTAGGAATAATACAATGTGGCAGATCATCGACCTAAACTAAATGAATAAGGAATAATATAATGTGGCAGATTATCAACCTAAACTACATCAATAAGGAATAATACAATGTGGCAGATTATCGACCTAAACTAAATGAGTAAGGAATAATACAATGTGGCAGATTATCGACCTAAACTAAATGAGTAAGGAATAATACAATGTGGCAGATTATCGACCTAAACTAAATGAATAAGGAATAGTACAATGTGGCAGATTATCGACCTAAACTAAACGAATAAGGAATAATACAATGTGGCAGATTATCGACCTAAACTAAACGAATAAGGAATAATACAATGTGGCAGATTATCGACCTAAACTGAATGAATAAGGAAAAGTACACTGCAGTAGATTATTGACTTAAACGAAACGAATAAGGAATTAGGTTGTTGGCCTATACTATACCTGTGTGTACTGAAGATAGTGGTCCATCTTAAATTAATAGAAGTTGTTTCAACTGGTGGTGGCCAATTACCAGCCTTAACTTTATCTGTAGGATTATAGACAGCATCAGATTTTTGACATATATTTAATGTGAGGGAAAATATAAATAATTTGTCTTCTGAATTGTATGAAATTTTTTTGTCAAGGTCTTTCATATCTTATCAGTCTGTGAATGGCAATGCAAAGTGGTGGAGTTACTGTTTCCATTATATGTTTCGAATGTTCGACTTCTTGGTTATTGACAATTTTTATACCACAATAACTTAATTTCCCATAAAGATTTTGTATTCTGCAAACAGCTACTAGATGACAAAAATTGTCAAAAGTAAGAAAAAATTAAAATAAGAATACTTCAAAAACACAACAGCCATAACTTTTGTGTATGCCTTGCCTACTAAAGCAGAAGGCATATTGTTTTCTGATCAGTGCATCAGGTTTTAGTTTAAGGTAATTCACCATCAAGTTGTGGTCACATTAACTTGAAACTTAATGCACATGTTCATTATGATGATCTTATATAGCAAAACAAATTAAAACATCAATTTGTTAATTTTATGCATCTAAAGTGCTTTTTACTAGATTTACCTTCATCAAGAAGACTCAAAGTCAAATATTTTAAAGCCGGGGATATATAAGAATTGAAACAGTTCAAGGGCTATATGACCTTTAGTTATACAAAATAGCCAAATCCACCTTAAGTCAACTTTGCCTGAGGGAGTTGAATCCTTAGATTCTTCATAATTTTAGAAACAGACAATTTAAGAAAGGTTTATTATAAATCATGTCAGTACCGAATATCTGACTACTGAGAAGATACCTTCTAGGACTAATAGTCCAACAGCAGCTGTATCGACCCAGTGCTGTTAAAATTTATAACAACAATTTATAGATTTCATGCAGTCGAACTGCTTTTCTTGGATTTACCTTCATCAGAAATGCTGATAGCCAAATCCATCGAAGGTCAATGTTGTTTGATGGAGTTGAACTTTAGTTTATTTTAATTTCTAAATTTAGAAACAGAAACATTAAGAAAATTTAATAAATCATGTCAGCACTGACAACTGAGCTGATGAAACCCTTAGGGGCTGATAGTCCACCAGCAGCGGAATCCACCTAGTGGTATAAAATTTATTAGAGTTTTGAACCAGATTTTGTGGTTCACTGGTCATGTAAATGTGAAAGCGCGAGTGGCGCATGGTGACTTATATTCAACTTTTTGTATTAAAGCCCAATACATGAATTTCAGTTGGTCCACCTTTACAGAAAATAAAATCTAATAAACAAGGAATTATTTGAATCTGGAATAATTTTGAATTCTTGAAAATTGATAAAAAATGTATGATGAAAACTAACCCAATTTAGGAGGGTTACCCATGCATGCATAGCTAAGGTTCAGGTTACTTTCACTGATATTTCAGTATGAATTAACAAACCCCCTTGGCCATGCATGCATGGCTTACCCTCCTAAATTGAGTTAGTTTTCATCATACATTTCTTCTCAATTTACCAGAATTCAAAATTATTCCAGATTCAAACAATTCCTCATTAATATAAACATGAGCGGCGAAAGGACTTTTTTTGGGACGCAGTGCTTTGGCCTGTATTTTTGTGGGAATTCGGGATTTGCACTTATCAGGAATTGATGATTTTTTTTCTTGAATTCAGGATTCACTGTTTATTTTTGCAGGAATTTCGGATACAGCGTTTTTTTTTGTGAGAAATGTGGATGACACCGCTCCCCTAAACAGGAATATTTTTCAGTGGATATTGAGCAAACAGCAACCAATCAATCAAACAGAAAATACAATATGTTCAATTAAATATTTACATCACAAGACAAAAAGGTTTGACTTTGATTAAAATCCTGAAATGAGAAGCTTATATACAAGAATTCTAAACATATCCATTATTGAAGATAAAGATACAGAATGTACCAAAAAATAAAGACGTATTTCTTGATATAAATTTAATGATAGAATATCATAAATAATAACAAATAAATATCACTTGTTTCTATACATAATTAATTAAAAGGTAGCATTAATAACACAAATGGCAAAAATAAAAGGCAGTAATCACATGACCTAGTATAATAATCTGTCTTAAGGATGTATTCTTCTGATGTTTCAGTCTCGCTGAAATCTCGTTCGGGAATTATATCCAAACATGTGATACAAGTGGAAAATATAAATGAATTTTTAAAATATTATCATCAAATTATTTAAAAACTATGTGAAAAAATTGTGTACTTACAATAAGTAGTTTTTCAGTAATAAAATTTTTATAAGCAATCTAGTCAAGTGTCATCAGCCAAAATGTTGAGCAAATGGGTGAAGTGTACAAAGAAATGATTTTACCAAAAATATGTACATCCCATATCAATTTTTTCTTTTCAAAATTCTTAGATTTGTATTTTTCAATCATTCATAACAAAGTAGTTGATATAATATGCTTTTTGTTCTAATAAATAAAGAGAAAAATTCCAAATTTAAAAAATTTACAGCATGGTCAATTTAAGACAAAAAAGCAACAAAATTTTACAAAACTTTCTTATATTATCACCTACCTATAGTTTTTTAAGTTCAATTTATTCAGATTGGTCCACTTCATCTTTAGTGAAAGTATTGAAAAAAGTTAAATGTGAAACTGATTTTTTTCATGATAATAGCCCAAAAATGGGAAAATCATAAAAATGGGGTACTTTCAAATGGCCACATCAAAAAAACAAGTGCACCAACATATGATTTTTTCTTCTTCAATTACTTTCTTACAATCATATATACCCAAATGTTATTTTATTATAAAATATTGGAATGGAATATTAAGATACAGATATTATTATATTGGGAAAAATAGTTTTAAAAAAAGTCCAGTTATTGTCTAAACGAACAGATTTTGATTATTAAAATTTAAATGTAATTTTTATTTATGTCAGGATAAGACAATTAAGAAATTATATCAATTAATAAATTTCAAAAAAAAGACAAAAATACAAAGATAATTCTGTATCATAAGACTGAAACAAAAAAGATGAAAATTAATATCAAAATTGCTATTTTTTCATCTCTTTCAAACTTCACATTGTACTTTAAGACAAATCAATATAAAGTTTTAAAATAAGTTAAACAGGAAGATATGTTTTCTAAACAGACAAAAAAATACAATAAGTTCATGTTTAAAGAGCAAATGGAATATAAGAATCTGTGACAAGCAAGAATGAAAATCTTAAAATCTTTTCAATAATTAGGTTGAGAGATTTCAACTGTGTGACCTGGGTTTTTAGACTATATATAATTTTACTCTTGTTATATCATTTTTTCAATATATTAAATTTCAAAATTGATAAACAACTATATATACTTTTTCTGACCTTTTTTAATATTGAGGTAGAATTTACACTGATATCAATAAGTGTTAAAACATGTTTACGCAGTCTTTGTTAAATACCCATATACTATGCTTTAAACTGATCAAACCTGACAAACATTTTACTGCTGAATAAAGACTAAAATAAGGTTTAAAAAAAACTAGATGTACTTGTGAGCAGAACTAACAAAACTTTTAAAGCTCATACAAATAAAATTGATATTTTTTAGGATAAAACACATTCATTTTATCATAAACTACTTTATAAATAGAATATTTGCAGCTTCTTTTTGTAAACAGATGGGTGACACACATCAAGAGCACTTCATAGTTGTTGTGAGATACTTATACGATGCTAAGTAACATTTTTTAATGTTTTATACTAATTTTAAGTAGTATTCCAGATATTCCAGTAGTATTTAGCAGAAGATGATAAACATAAGCTAATAATTGATATTTGTTATGTTTTTTTTCTTGTGTTGTGTACAAATGTCTGAATTGGTGGAATGATGATCTGCTCCATCTATCATGTCAGTGGAATACGGGAGGGTGATATTGACGACAGTCTATGATGAGGTGACGGTGACCTACTCTGTAGTCTAACATGAGGTGACTGTGACCTACTTCTCATAGTTTTCCCGTCTTTCACAAGTGTCTTTAATTTTGTCAAATGTGACAAGGCCCTGCAAAACAAACAATATTATTGTTATTTACAAATATAATCCGTTATTGTTATTTACAAATATAATCCGATGTAACTATTTACTACAAATGAATCTGACAACGAAAATGACATTGTGCCAATGATGATGTGCAAATGCTTTATCAATGAAATATTTCAACTTTGGCAATATTCATGTAATGATCCTTCTAATCAATTCTTGAAAAATGATATAACCAAAGGAATTAACTTATGTGGGTTGTATAATCGTGAAGTAAGATAGTTTAAATTTTAGTTATGTATATAGCATATACCAACAAAATTCTGCAGACTACATTCAATTTAAAATTCAGAGACAAAAGTAAGTTTTTGCTATACTAAAGATTACATCTCTCACTATTTCCAAATATTTCAAAAATGTAACATAAACTTAAAATAAAGGATTTTTGATAATCTATTCCTTTTTTATACCTTTATTCACAAAATCACATACAAATAAAACTTATTTTTTCCAGTATTCTTTCCACCACTCAATGAGAATCATTCAGCAGTAACCTCCCTTACCTATAGCTAGGTATAAAGGGAAGACAATTTAACTTTATTTGCATTGAAAAAGAGGCTCCGTGTTGAAGACCGTACTGTGACCTATAATGGTTTACTTTTATAAATTTTGACTTGGATGGAGAGTTGTCTCATTGGCACTCATACCACATCTTCTTATATCTATTTACATTGTCAGTTTTTTACAAAACCCACAGATGAGCCAGTGTGTGGCTTGTATTAATCTTGTGTGACATCAAACCAGTCATGATTTTTATTTCTATATCCATCATTGAATTCATTGGAACTAAAAGAGTTTATTATGCTTTCCAGGAAGACCACAGACAACATATAATTAATGTATATTAAACACTTCACAAGAGTGCACACGTTGAAATGTCTCGCCTGCTTTACTGACCATTGATTTTATGTTGAAAGTTTTAAAGATGGAGGTTTTACTACAAGTATCACATAAACTTAACATTTTATAAGATCCATGACAATGATGTCAAGGTCAAAAAATTCTGTCAGACACACATGTACACCTTATAATTATCCCAAACACCACATAAAGTTGACCTACTGCATATACTATCTGAGAAACGGACCTAATCATGCAACTTTAACCTTGATCGCTGATCCATGAAATGAGGTTAAGGTCAACTGAACCTTGTCTGACGGACATGTAGACATTGCAAGGAACCCATATATCAAATATAGTAATCCTATTACTCATAATAAGTGAGAAATTCACATAATAAAAAACTATAATCTTTTTTCAAGCAGTCGCTAAACCATGAAAATATATCAAGAGCAATGGACATAGGACAAACAGAAACCTTGGAACATAAGGTATCGGCATACAAGGTTTGAAGCATACAGGTCTTCTACCTTCTGAAATATAAAGCTTTGTACAAATAGTTTATGGATAGTAATACCTATGTCTAGCATACTGCGACTTTCGTTGCAGCAACAAAAAGCAGTATAATAAACAAATTATTTTAGTTATTTCTTATATTTCTTCAATATAAACTATTTCCCCATGAATAAATGAAAATAAACAATCTCTGGACAAATAAAATGCATTTAGTATTCAAGATCATCCTTGTCGAATAACTATATTATGATACTGTTTCTCAATAAAAACTTGTCAGCTGGATGATGAAAGAATCATACACCAGTTTTATATGAATATAACAAAGAATTTATAACCATAAAAATCTTATCTGTTTTTAAATTATGTTGGTACACTTATGTATACATGTAAGTAAAACAGTCATCTGATGTCTATAGAAATACATGATGAAAAGACATGCTTAAACAGAGGATATTCGCATAATAAGTAGAAGGCATAGATAAAGACAGCTAGAGTATAAAATAATGAGAAGAGGACAATTTAAGGTAAACAAAAAAATCATACAGACTTAGAAAAAATAATGGTATTGGACATAGTCTACAAAACAAATCTGTCCAATTGAATTCATATTTTCAAGGATCAGTTTGTCTACAGAAAACTGAACTATATCTAAGTCCGATTTTAAGATTGAATCTTCTACTGCTGTTTTATAGTCAAGGGAGATAATCTAAGTGATGGATCTTACATTTAAAATGGATTAAATATCTGTTCCACAACCTATTCACACATACATGTAGTTAACAATTTTAGTAAAGCAAAACAAAATCTTTTTACAAAATCAATGTCTTCCTTAAAAAGAACATAGCATTACCATTGCTTTAAGATGAAATATTCTGAAATCAAAATATTTTTGAACTGTATTTTTAAAAGACAGGTTTCATTAAGTTATGATCTATTGTTATTAAATGCCTTGTGAAAAAAGTCATGTAACATTATAAAACATAACAAAACTTAAAGTATAATGACAGCTTATGACCTAAAAGAAATTTGTTGAAACTGAAATTTTCATTTGTTCATTTCTGTCATAAAGTGTTGACTTACTCAAGCTATATAAGTTTTAAATTTATCTTGTATATGCATGAAGGAGAACTTTTAATGCTTGCTTTCTTTTCACAATACAATCTTTGACCAAGCTATTATTTTACTTTGTGTTAATTACCCGTTCTTAAGAGAAAGACAAGACAATTAGACATAAATATCTTGATTATATATCTACACTATATACATTGTCCTAAAAGATACATCACCTTTAGTTACAGAAATTATTACTACATGTATCTGTAAAAATACCCTGTACTGTTATATAACTATATGTGAATATATTGGTGAATATAGTACATGTATTAACTTAATAATAAGATGGACCTTTTTATTTTACACCCAACTCAATTATCTTAATTTCCAAAAGTATAAACAAAATTATCCAGTCCCTTTTAAAATCAAATATTTTTTACTGTCATTACTTCAAACATAAAATATCTGAATGTTTTGAAAGAGATGATGAAAAAAACAATTGTGTATGACCTTTTTTTGTTCTGATAAACAGGAAGGCTGTTACTAGAAAACATACGTTTTATCTGATGTTTAAGTTTTGTTATCATATTTTAACAAATTGAAGATTTTCCTGAGCAGTCAATGAAACTAAGCTGCTTAGTATTGACAGTAATCAGTATAATTCACTCCTTAAATCCTTCAATGGCTACATAAACACCTGAAGGTCATATTTATGAAAAATGGTCAATTAATCTTTCGAAATAAGCTCTTGTTTTACCTATCTTGTTAACATTAAACTAACAGCTAATTGACCTTATCTTCCGAAGAACGCCAATAAAATATTAGATTTGTAACACATTTTTAACATCTTAAGATTTTCAGCCCTTAGGCGAATGAGAGAGAACGATCGTAGAAAGGGCCTGAATTATTAGGGTTAACTGCTTAGGTGAGTTTTTGTATAATCATATATGTTAGTGGTTAAGGGTAATTTTCTTGCCTTGAGTTTTTAATTTTTTTCGTGCTTAAAGCTCATTATTCACGGTTTCATGAAAATTGGTAAAAAAACAATTGATTAGCTATTTTCTTATTGATTGTACATCTTGAAATGGCCATTTTATATTCTGTTTATCCATGCACATACTCCCCTTTAAAACCCTCATATCTAGTGGATGAAAGTGTACATGAGCTATCATCTACAGGTAGAATATCATTGAGACACCATGATTTTATCTTTTAATGACTATAAAAAATATAGCAAAGGTAATGCATGCATGTAAAAATGGAGAAAAAAATGATAATTAAACTGCAAAAAAATGTTGGAAATAAACTATCACAATGTCCTCATTGCTGTGTCTTCATTTTTCGTTGGATACCAATTTTCGTGACTTTTGTGGGTACAGGTGAACCACGAAATTAAATGTTCAATGAATAACAAATTTTCTATAGGCTTATATGCAGACTTCGGCAAAACCATGAAATTAAATATCAATGAACATGCAAGTTTTCCGCAATCCACGAAAATAAATGAATCCACAGTATATAATATGAAGTTTACTAGTCAATGTATGGTGCATTTGCAAATAATAAGGCTGCTTACAAGCTTTTAATTGATTTGTAAGGACTACTTACTTCTCCAAAGACTTGCCATTTAATTGATTTGTAAGGACTACTTACTTCTCTAAAGACTTGCCACCTGGTTCATCATCGAAGTTATAATCTCTTAATGCATCTTCTAGTTCTTCATTAGACAGGTTTAGTTGTTCCTACAGAACACAATTAATCAATTCATCAATGATTTAAAATAACAATATATGTATTTATACAGTGGTCTCGTTAGCCCAAAATAGAAGGGCGCCGCGCCCTGGGTGCCCTCCGCCGCGCCCTGGGTGCCCTCCGCCGCGCCCTGGGTGCCTTCATCCGTGCCCTTCTGCCCTGACGCCTTTTTCCTCAAAACCCTTGTGCCGTTTTGGTAAAATTGCCTTTTGTTTCATCGATTTCTTATCACAAAGTTAAATTACATATATGACACCAGGTGATTGCCCCCAGGTTAATCATGTCATTACAATCAATTACAGTGGATAAGACTTCAAAGGTGTTAATAACTAGGTAATTTTATTAAGACAATGTACCTTTTTGTCATAAATTTGATGAATGTGTCAGCGAGTGTTTTTAGCTTGGGTCGGCATTTTCTATCTCCAAGAAGAGTGTATAAATGAAGACTTTCATGACTTTAGAATAGAATTTAAGTCATCAAAATACAACTATGCCTTCACAGAAACGCCTTCCATCTCAACTTGTGAGTGACAAGCAAACAGTAAACCTGTTAGAAATTAATTATGGAGTTACTTCCCCTGTTTTAGCTTATTACAAATTTGTGCTCCTAAAATATTATTTAGTATTAAAAATAGGAATTAATTACCAATTGAATACAAAATTATATAAGAATGTTACCTTAAGGATATTAACTGTCTGTGAACATACCAAAAAAAATATATTGCAATTTATTTTTGATAATCATACTTTTAGAAATCCATGTTCTATACATTGTCAATAAAGAAATTAATAAATTTAATTGTCATGATGATGTTAAGCTGCAATCCTACTAGCCTAGTCAATTTAGCTCTAAAATCGTTCAACCTGCAACTAATTGCAATACAAGGTTTTTTTAGTGCAAATTTCAATATAGACTTGTACTAACAACATACTAAAACTATACATTGATATAATTTGCGGAAAAGGTTATTTTGGGGTGAAATATGTGGTTTTTAGAGAAAAAATGCTGAAAACTGGAAAAGAAGAAAAATTGTTATTTATGGTTACATTTTTAGACCTAAAGCTCGTTGAAGACAGGAAACCTTATGTTATAGAGTATTATGTAGTCCTCTAGTTATTATTATTATTCATATTGAAGTAATTTTGAGGTGAAATGAGTGATTTTTAGAGAAAAAACGCTGAAAACTGGAAACGTAGAAAATCTCCGTTGCTAATGGTTAATATTTTTGAAATTTGATCTATATAGAAAAAAGAACATACTAGTTTATGTTTTATTTGTGAAGTCCTTTTGTTATCAATATTAATATTTGGGTAATTTTGGTTGAATATATGTTTTAAGACCAAAAACCCGGAAAACTGGAAATGAAAATATCTCGGTTATTGATGGTTAAAACTTTCAAATTGGGATCTAAACAGAAAATAGAGAATACTATCTGATGTTTATCTTAAGAAGTCCTATAGTTATTGGTATTTAAAAAATTGTAATTCTTGTGTAAAATGTGATTTGTAGAGAAAAATTGTGAAAAATGGAAATAAAAAACTCGATTATTCATGGTTAAAACTTTTAACATAGGATCTTTATAAGCATACTATATTATCTTATGTTTATCGCATATGTATTCCCCTTGTTATCGATATCAATAATAATCAATTTGGTGTGTGAAATATTTTGTTTTACACACTAACTACAAAACAAGAATATATCCATAGTACACGGATGCCCCACCCGCACTATCATTTTCTATGTTCAATGGACTGTGAAATTGGGTCAAAACTCTAATTTGGCATTAAAATTAGAAAGATCTTATCATAGGGAATATTTGTAGTAAGTTTCAATATGATTGGACTTCAACTTCATCAAAAAATACCTTGACCAAAAACTTTAACAAAAAACTTTAATCTGAAGACGGACGAACGAACAGACGCACAGACAGAAAAACATAATGCACTTAAGTGAGGGGCATATAGAAGGAAAATTTTAAAATCTTGGTTATTTCTAGTTAGATTTTAAAAAACGAAAAAATGGAGAATGGAAACAGGGAATTTGTCAAAGAGAAAACAAGGCCACTAATGGGTCTTTAACATAGCAAGTAAATCCGGCACACGGAGGTGGGCTTCAGCTGACCCCTTAATTATGTTGTACACTAGTTCAGCAAAATGGACACCACCCTAAACTCCAGTACATACAAATGAACCAAAATTATCACACAAAAAAAAAAACACACACAAGACAAACAAAGGCTAGAGGTTCATGACTTGGGATAGGTGCAATAATGTGGCAGGGGTTAAACATGTTGTGTGAGAACTAAACCCTCCCCTAGTTTCTCTATACAATATAGAATAAACAAACACACAGTAAAACTCAGTTTTAAATATGTGCATTTTGTGGAAGTTTGAAATTTTATCTTGTTTCGGTTATGTATAAAATTTATAGTAATTACACGTGTAGGTATAATAAACAAAAAATGAGTGTGTTCAAAAATAACTCTTAATCAGTTTGGTTACTGACTTTGATTTTGTCATGTTAATTGCTGGAGAAAGTCATTTTTCTAGTGCCCTTGTATCGTCATTGACTGTATTTGAATTGCATAAAGTCACAGTTAAACACAGACGATGTGATTGCAGATTTCTCTTAATGTGTTGCTAATTTTATTTAGCAAGCTCTATCAATATCCACGTTTAATTTCAGATGTTTAAGCTTTTTAAATTTAGGAACATATACTAGTTCACTGAATTAGCATTAAATAAAGGCAACAGTAGTATACCGCTATTCGAAATTCATAAATCGATTGAGAAAAAAAACAAATCCGGGTTACAAACTAAAACTGAGGGAAACACATCAAATATAAGAGGAGAACAACGACACAACAGAAACTCAACACTAAAATGCAACACACACAAAACGAACTATTATATAACAATGGCCATTTTCCTGACTTGGTACAGGACATTTTAAGAAAAAATGATGGGTTGAACCTGGTTTTGTGGCTAGCCAAACCTCCCGCTTTTATGGCAATGTTAAATATAACATTAAAATGACATGATTACATAACAGGACTACAATACAAATAAATGGCAGAACATACAGGACAGAGACACACACAAATAAAAGCTATCAAAAGGTATACCAGGCTTACAATTTAATACGCCAGACGCGCATTTCGTCTACATAAGACCCATCAGTGACGCTCAGATCAAAAAAATTTGAAAGCCAAAACAAGTACAAAGTTGAAGAGCATAGAGGACCAAGAGTTCCAAAAAGTTGTGCCAAATACGGCTAAGGTTATATGCCTGGGATAAGAAAATCCTTAGTATTTAGAATAATTCATACTTTTGCAAACAGTAAATTTATAAAAATGACTATATAATAGATATACATGTTAACACCGATGTGGTGACTAACTACAGAATAAAAACGAATACGTAAAACAACCTAAATCAGCACATAAAAAAGGCAGAGCCGAACAACGTATTATATGTTAGCCGAAGAAATCGACGCACAATGTGACGTAACATTTAAATTTCTATAAATTTCCAAAAAATAGGAGAGAGTTCAAGATTAGGTTTGAAATACCGATATAACATGTATTAATAACAATGAAAATTACAATTCTTATTAATATAAAATTGTGGTAGTAATTAGATAATTAATTATATTATCAAGCTATGTCGGTATTCTAAATCAAACTGTAAACCAAATACATCGTATAAATTTAGTTGACCCAAACTAAAATCTTTTAAATGAACTGGGTGGTTAATTATCGTTACCGTAACACACGAATAGAACAGAAAAAAAATAAAATTTACAACTACAAACGATAACCCATTTGACAAAATCCGATGAGAATAACAAATATAACATCAAAACTAAATTAAAAGAGGGGCAAAAGATACCAGAGGGACAGTCAAACTCATAGATAGAAAATTAAATGTAGATCTGATATTGTTTAAGGCAATTTCAAGAGCAGCTTTGTCAATACCATAATAAGTTTACCTCAAGAGCTTGAATTTAAATAGTAATTGTACTATTAAAGTGGACCAATTTTGGATGTTGAAAATGATATAAGCACTGTTGAATGAATTAATGGGATTACTTCCTGGAGGAAGTGTTAATAGCAACAACGCATTATGTGTGTACCATATAAACCTGCATGTGTGTGGTGGTCTGAAACATCAACCAAATGGTAATGACAAAGAACTAACATGGGTTGTCTGCTATATGAAAATATTATGGTCAAAGATATATATATACTTACTAGTATATAAAGAAAAGCATTACCAAGTTCTTTATTTAATATATCTCATTGAATTAATTTAAGAAAAGGTAATCAGCTTTAGCCTAAGAACTGTAAAAAAATTATCATGCATCATCTGTGTATGAATTAAAATTTGTAGTATCTGTGGGCGACTTTAATGGCCAGAGATAACGTTTAGATAGTCATGTCTAATCTGAAGGTATGTCTGTTGGTTTTTGTTAGTCGTTTGGGTGCTTTCTCGTTGACTTTAAAAACCTCAAATCTCTCTTTATTCATAAATATACTCTATTACAGATATATCAATGTTAAAGACGCTGTTTTATGATTCCGGAATGCTGACCTGTATTCAACTCATTTGAACGAAACTGTAAAAATATTTAAAAAAAATACACCTCATGCCAGAAGAATACAAAATTAATGTTCAGTTTTAAGGTCCACTAAACTCTATCAGTGATCTCTTGGTAGTAAGTTTGATCGCTTGCCAATGAAACCATCACTTATTATAAAATCTCCCCACTTTAAAAACATAAGAAGATGTTGTATGATTGCCAATGAGAAAACTTTCCACAAGAGATATCAATGAAGTGGGTGTGGATGTAAACAACTATAGTTCATCGTCAAAATATAAAACAAGTCAAACGAGAAACTCAAAGGCCTGGTTAATGTTAAAACAATAAACGGAAAAACAAATATGACAGACAGCAAACAATAACAACCAAGTAATAAAGGGCCACTGACTTGTGATAATCATATTCATAGTGTGCAGGGTTAACCCTCATTGCGAGCACTCAACCCTCCAATAATCAGGAACAGTTTTTATTTAGGGGCCGGCTGAGGACCACCTTCTGGTGCGGGATTTTCTCGTTGCATTGAAGACCCATTGTCCTGGTGGCCTTCGGCTGTTATCTGCTCTTGATCTGGTCGGGTTGTTTTCTCTTTGACATACAATATTCCCCATTTCCATTCTCAATTTTATTTAAATAGCAAACAACGTAAGAACAAATTGTAAAACCCAGTAGGAAAGGGCTCAACTCAAAAAGATCAGCACGGATTAACCAAAAGGACAATGAGTTCTCATAGCTAGTCCAAAGCTTAGTAATTACAGTTGATGAATAAATACTGTTGGCACCGACTAAAATATAAATAAGTACACATCCGATTAGTAACCAAAGTGAAAAGTGGATTCAGTGTTACAGTCAAAGCTTTATTTATATGGTGTGTGAGTACTGAGATCGTCGCAAATTACATGAGTAGCTATTTGCTTCGAGGAGCCTGAAATTTTCATTTGTGAAAAAAAATTTATCATAAAATCATCTAACACTCATCTTTCTTATTTTTTTTTTAAACATTGTTGGATTCTAAATCTTAACATGTTTGTTCCAGAAGGTAAATGAAAAAAAGATATTGTTTTCTTTCTAAAGTTGTGGAGAAAAAATACATTAAAGACTTTGAATCTTGCAATAACATTTTTTTTTATAAAGAACAAAACATGTGTTTCTGGAACCCCTCCCCCAACAAAAAATAAACTGTCTGTGCCTTTAACACAGGGGCAGAATTCTTTCGAATACCAAGTAAGAATGTGACTAAATTGGTAACTCTAATTCAGTACAGTTTTACATTTTTAGGTTACTTACCAACACTATTTTGGCGAACTAGATTCTTGGATTGTAAAATAGCAGAACACAATCTCGGTCTATATCTTTATTCAAATATACAAATTTTGAGACTGGAAAGTGATTCATTTGTATAATTATTATTTCAAATTGAAATAATAATGTATTGTATTGTATTATTTCAACTGTTTTAAAAAATACAGAACATTTTTTGTATAATTTTATTTTTTTCAACTTTGGCAAATAAGGGGAAGCAACTCATATAACCTTACTTTTACTACAAAACATTTTTATAAATTACACCACTTTCCGCAAAATATATTTTTGTATAGTTTTAGTATGTTGTTCATAGATAGTAACAGACTTGTTTTTCAGAGAAAAACTTTGTGTTGCAATTAGTTGCAGGTTGTTCACTAAATTGACTAGACTATACTGAAATGAGTAGTGTGTAGTTAAACTTTCATGACATCAACTTGGTGAAGCTTTACTACAATAATTCCTTAACACAAACAATGAATAAAAGTTTTGAGGGCCAAACTATAGCTGAACATTTTGAAATAAGACAACCCTGTCACATGTATGCTAAACTATGAGATGTTTAGTTTATGTTGTTTTTTCTTTTTTTTTTTTGGAAAGGGGGGGGGGGGGGAGAATAGTAAGTTAATTTGCCTCTATAGGTTTATAGTGATGTGATGTATGAATGTGTATAGCCATGTTTTAGGAACATGTCGTATGAATTACATTTTCTAATGCAAATTTTATAGAATAAATAATCAAAACAACAACTTATGCATCTTTATTAACAACATATACAGTAAAAAAAAGAATGTGAACTCGTGATACACACAGAAACGTAGACAAAAGAAATGAGCAGTGCATTTTCCTTTCATAAAAAAGTGCCCTGCCCTCCACTGCACCCTGCCCCTTTTGATTTCTAACTGGAGCACTGTTATATATATATATTTTACAACATATGAATGAAATAATTCACTAACCATTATGTCTACTGTGTAGTTATAACAAATCATAAATGAAGTATGTTCTAAATTGGTTCCCATGAACAAATTGTGATGATAATTATACACACTATTTTGTAAAATGTTCCTATTCATTGCATTTTGTGTATCAAAAAGAATGCCATACAATGTCCGTATAGAAACTGATAAAACACTGATTGGAGCTGCAATTAAAATTGTTAAGGCAGTACTACAGTAAACCTAAAGTAAAATCATCTATCTAAACTGTTATTATTTCAGTTACAACTATAACTCTTAGGACATGCTAGAAAAGTATAACTATATGAATCAGAGCTATTCCAGATTTATGTTCAAGAAATGATTATTGTACCATATGTAACAAAATGGTACAACAAGAGGCTCCAAGGAGCATGTATTGCTTGTCTTGATGTTTTGTCTGCAGCAACTGCTGATGTCATTATAAAAGTGTAATGTTTAAATTCATTTATCAATAAAATATGGAAGAATTTTTTTGAAAAGATTTCAGATGGACAGCAATTGATAGCAAAAGGGGTTTCTTAGTGTGATCAGTTTCAAGAAATTAAAAAAAGAAAGATAACTTCCAGAAATGGTTTAGGTTTACAATGTTGTAGGTATGTAATGAAAAAATATCGTTCTCTAAATGTTGTAAAAATGCCTACCTATAATTGGCTTTAAATGATAAATATTCACTGACTCACAAAAAAACCTTAATTGTACATACCTGTGCTGCTAGTAGCTTTTCTCTAGAGCCACTAGATTCTTCTGACTGAAGTTTATATAACATGTTCTTTAGTGTCTCTAAGCTACCGGGTTGATGCCTCCCTGTGTAAGTTGGGGCCTTCAAAAAATCAAGAAAAAAAAACTCTTTTAAGATTTCTAAACTGCCTAAAATTGAAGAAAAACTGTATATCCTGAACAATTCATATATAATATACTTCAAACTATGAAATAATGTTTTCTTTAACATTGAAAAAATGAAATAAATATTCATATCAAACTTTTGCAGCAAATATATCTATTTCTATGAATATGTCATTCTAGATACATACATAAATAAATAAAATGTGTTCAAATAATTAAAAAATTCATAAGGGTTCCACGGAACCCAGTGTCTCGCCTACTTTTGCTGTTAATCGCAGGCTCAACAAAAATGAAAAAAAAAAGTAATAAACATATTCCTCTCTATTCTATCTTTTGATTGCAAGTAGCTTCTGTCCAAGTTTGGTAAAAATCCAGGATAGTTTATGAATCTAATAAATGTTTTAAAAACTTAAACTGCAGACTGTATGTAATGTTAACTGGAAGAAAAACTAAGTTCATTTATAAGTAAAATACGGAAAAAATGGAACAAAATTTTAACAAAATTTCCTTCTAGATACTAGCTTTTAATCATAAACAAGCTTCTGTCCAAATTTGGTACAAATCCAAGATAGTTTAAGAAAGTTGTTAAAATTTTAAAAACTTTAACCACAGAGTGAATGTAATGTTAACTGGCAGAAAAACTAAGTCCATTTATAAGTAAAATACGGAAAAAATAGAATTTTTTTTTTACAAAATTTACTTTTGAATATTATGTTATGATCATAAACAAGCTTCTGTCCAAGTTTGGTAGAAATCCAGGATAGTTTAAGAAAGTTATTAAAATTTCAAAAACTTTAACCACAGAGTGAATATTTGTGGACGCCGCCGCCGACGCCGACGCCGACGGAATGTAGGATCGCTATGTCTCGCTTTTTCGACTAAAGTCGAAGGCTCGACAAAAATAGAGAAGAAATCTTACAAAAAGTTCATACTTTAATGAGTAACAATTTTTTTTCAAACACAGAAGGTACATTACATGCAAATTGTCAATATATACCTACCTTTACATCAGAATCACTTGTATCTTCATCTACATAAACAGGTGATTTACTGTAAAACAAGGCATACAACTCTCATTTATATGTAATTATATGTCTAATTAACAGATTCTTATTGATCATGTTTAAAAGTAAAGATACTAATTGATTGTATACAAAACTTTTAAATGTATATGATATAATTCAAACTGAATATGATTAGTTGATTGATTGGTGTTTAATGCCAATTTTAGCACAATTGGCTATTTCATGGTGGTCAGTTTTTATTGATGGAGGAAGCCGTATTGCCCGGAGATACCCATGACATTCAGCAGGAAAACTGACAATCCTAGTCAATTAAGATTGGAGTGGAATGCAACTGCCATGTGCAGGCTTAAAAATTACAACCTCACTGTTGACAGGCTAGTGATACAGTAGCTGAACTATTTAGACCTCTTGGCCACCAAGGCCCCAAAACTGTATATGATATAATTCAAAATGTATATAATATAATAGAAGGTAAATCCAAATAACAGAGCTTTTAACAGATTTAATCTACAGTTAGCTAAAAAGTCTACAACACTGAGTTGGAAACTCGTACCAGAGAAAATATTCCAGACAGTCCTTTTTACATCAACAAGTGGCTTTTTTTTCTTTTTCACATGTCAATGTATCTCTTGTAGATAATGAAAAAGAAAACCGAAGATGTTGATTACAAGGGGTGTTTACAATCATCATCTCTAAGGCACCTTAATAATCCCCTAGCTTCATGCTCCCCTTGAGTGTTTGAACTCTAACCTGATTAAACCAAAGACTTTAAAAATTGTTACATTTGTATTTGCAGCTTCTCTGTTAAGCATGTAGTATTTATGAGTACAAGAAAAGATAGGTCTGCTTAGTCAGAATACTGATTGATTGTTGGTGTTTTATGCCACTTTCAGCACTATTGGCTACTTTTTATTGGTGGAGGAAGCTGGGGTGATCAAAGAGAACCACCAAACTTCGGCAGGAACACTGGAAATCCTACTTAATTAAGGTCTGAGTTGAACACACCTGCCATGTGCTAGGTTCAATCTCACAACATGAGTGTTGACACTCTAGTGATTGCTGTAGATGTACTACTTAGACCACTTGTGGCCCCTATCAGAATAGTGTACATAACTGGTAAGTTTTCTTACTTAATATAAAAATATGAGCCATTAGGTTAAAAATCTGACTCAAAGTATTCATTTAGTATCAAGCAAGCATGTTCATATAAAATTATTGTCCTGAACATCCATGATATATTTGTTGCAGACATTGGACATTAAAGTAGCCATCAATCAGCCAATCATAACATCTTTGAGATTTGCTTGATTTTATAACATTCAAAGCTATGGTGTAAATGTTAAGATATTTTATTAAGAGACCTTTGTTTTTCGTTCATTTTTTGTACATAAATTTAGTTTTCTCGTTTGAATTGTTTTACATTGTCATTTCGGGGCCTTTTATAGCTGACTGTGCGGTATGGGCTTTGCTCATTGTTGAAGGCTGTACGGTGACCTACAGTTGTTAATTTCTGTGTCATTTGGTCTCTTGTGAAGAGTTGTCTCATTGGCAATCATACCACATCTTCTTTTTTATAATTAAGAATAAACTAACTGGTCATGTATGAAATATGTTTTGGTAATGCATAACACTTACAATGCCACTTGTTTTTCCCAAGGTCTATCACCTTCCAGAACTATATCTGTATCTGGACTTAGTGGTCGTCTAGATCTAATTGGGGTTCCTAAAATCAAATGAAACTCAACTGAATAAACAGAGAAATGTACACAGAGAAAAAATTGTGACAGATTCAAATTAATTTACAACAACTCTACAATTTGGTAATTTTCATATACATAAATAATTTATTTAAAAAATATTTATATCCTACAACCAATTGGGAGATGTTCAAATAAGAAGAACAATTCTTAATTTCTCCATCTACATGTAAATTAGGGCTTAACAAGAATGTGTCCATAGTACACTGATGCCCCACTCGCACTATAATTTTTATGTTCAGTGGACCGTGACATTGGGGTCAAAACTCTAATTTGGCAGGGGGTCCTCGGTGGCCAAGTGGTCTAAGTAGTTCTACTACTGTAATCACTAGCCAGTCAACACTGAGGTTGTGAGTTCGAACCCCGCTCGTGCGGGTGCACTCGACTCCAATCTTAATTGACTAGGATTGTCAGTTTTCCTATCGAAGGTCGGTGGTTTTCTCCGGGCACTCCGGCTTCCTCCACCAATAAAAACTGGCCGCCACGAAATAGCCCAAAAGTGGCGTTAAAACACCAACAATCAATCAATCAATCTAATTTGGCATTAAAATTAGAAAATCATAGGGAACATGTGTACTAAGTTTCAAATTGATTGGACTTCAACTTCATCAAAAATTACCTTGACCAAAAACTTTAACCTGAAGCCAGACAGACGGACAGACAAACGAACGGACGCACAGACCGAAAAACATAATGCACCTCTACTATCTATCGTAAATGTGGCATAAAAAGGTAAAACAGAACATTATTTGTGCTTTCAGAAATGACCAAGTGCTAGAACAAAGAATAATTTAAGCCCAACAATTCTGTGTATTTTTGTGATATGTGTGCATGTTATTTTGAAACATACTTACATTGTTGTATAAAAGATATGATATAAATCATCAGGTATCTATACCAGTACATGTATAATGAATGTTTATCTTGGTTCTATTATTCAAACTAATTTAATAACCTGATTTGGCGTGAACTGTGTGATTGTAGTGGTATTGAATTGTCTATTTTTGTTTTGGTGTTGGTTAAAATTCATGTTTATACACATAACAATGTATTCTGCAAAATAACCCGTCATCACAGTCAATTAAAAAATATGAAACGACTGAAATCAGCATTTATAACCAAGTATTTCATCATTTGTTTGTATACAGAAACAATTTTAAACTCCAAGTATGGAAACAAAATTATGTTTTTTCAATATTTTATTCAGTGTGATGTTGCTATAGCATAGATAGGATACTAACCAGTTATAGGACTTGCCCCTGCAATCTCATGGTGTGCTGGTGCTGACATTCCTGCTATCAATGCTTCTGTATCTAAACTGGAACACCTTGGTACTCGATTATCTCCCTTTAAAGAATCCAAAATGGAGTCTGACCTTTTATCACTTGCATTATCTAAATATTGTTCTAAAATATCACTGCTGTTTAGTTTCTTACCACTCTCCATTACTTCTTTAGGAAGTTGGCTAGTTAGGTCATATTTATCTTTTCCACGTCTTGATTTTCGAGGAGATTTCATCAGGTCATCGTATCTCAGTCCCTGAGCTGAGGTATCTTTAAATGAGTCATTACCTAAGAGTTCAGAAACACCAACACCATAGACAGGTTGTGAAACTAAACTTGTTATATCAGAGCCTTCTAGTCCATTAACCCAGCTTGGTGGAGGTCTACCAGACCTCAGGTCCCGTTTAGACCACATAGAATCAGCAGGGTCCGTAATATCCAAAGCATCTATCCAACTTGGCGATTTAGTGTCTGTAACATTAGGATCTTTGATCCATTTCTGTGGTTTCTTGAAAAGTTTTTCACTTTGTCTAGTTGATGACGGTGACACTGATCGACTTCGTTCACGTAATGGAATAGAACCAGCTCTAGTATTAAAACTACTTGGCGGTCTCTTAATGAAGAAATCATTGGCATTGTCTGACCTGTTAGTTAAAGGATCTATAATTCCAACAGTCCTCTGTTGAGATTTGGGTCTTTTATAAGAGTAAATATGTTTACGTTCTGAGTACCCAGCTGTTGGGTTCATTGTCATCAACATATCTGTAGAAACACTATCAATATCACTTTGAGGTTTACGGAGCTCGTCATGTTGAATCTGAATTAATAGGTCACCAGATCTGTTTAATGCATCCTCAGCTGAAATCCATATAATCAATGTTAGAAATATTTCAGTCATACTTGTTTAATATCAAAATCAAATCTCTAACAGCCTTGCCATGTGAACATAACTTTTATTGTTTTTTGTTTTGAAACATTGTGGTTTTTTCGTTTATCATATTAAACTGTGAATTTAAGGAGATGTAGAGTATATGTCAATAAGAGAGTAAAAATCAATAAAACTTGTACATCTGTTTAATTGTTTATTTACTATAGGCAGCATAATCAGCACTGTAAAGTTTTATTATTTTAAAAAAAGAAATTTGCCACTATTCACAAGGTTTGGGTTAATTGTTACTATTACATGTATTTTCATTCTCAACTGTCAAAAGTGGTTGAATGTAAATCATTTAAAAAATAAAAGAATGTAAGCCAGGTGTTTGGCTTTAGTAAGCATGGTTAAAAAGAGAGGCATCTAAGAGCCTGAATTGCTCACATAGCAAAACAGGCAATTTGAAATTTATTTTAACCTTTTTGACAGTCACAAAATGTTTTTTTAGAAACAAATTAATTCTTTTCAAACATACAGCTTTTGGAGAGCATTCAAGTTAAATCAAAAGGAACAAATTATATCCTTGATTCAAATGGCCCTTCATTAAGTAGCCTTATCAATATCATAGACCAAAGAACAAAATTGTAGATTTAAATTTACTTGTTTCAAGTTTAATTTTTACACTTTCTCTCTATCAATTACTTTTTTCAAGAAAATATAAAAAAAATATATTCAAAGCTCATAACACTCATCATTACAGGGCAACAACTTTTATATGCAGTTAATTCATGGATTTTATCATACAAGCATTTTTGTAAATCTTATATATTGCTGATAATTTTTATGGTTGCCATGTTGGTTGATTGGCAGGAACCAAAAACAAACTTTTTACAACATACCCTAAGATCATTCAGCTCAACTTTGGTTGAAATTGGTCCAGGGGTTTAAGGGAAGAACATTTTTTGATATTTTATGACAACAGACGACAAGTGATGGCAATAGCTAACATGGCCCATAGGGTCAGGTGAGCTAAAAATTATTATTTAAAGCTAAAGATGTGAAATATAAGCTCTTTTTAGTTTAAAGAGATTTCTTGTTTATCATTCTGGGAAAAAAAACAAAAAAAGCTAATAACACAAGATGTTTGATACATAGTTAAGACAATCTATTCCTTTGATGAAAAACAGACTGAATAATGAGTGTCTAAAATTGTTTTTCAAATTTATGTCCTAAATACCATATCTACTACAGAAACTAGTAAACTTCTCTTCCATATATAACCAAAATAAATTGTTAAAAATTGGGAAATTGGTTTGAAAGGTATCAGAATGTAGTGCAAACATTATGTAGTAGAGAATTGATAAGAAGTAGTGGATTCGTAAACGATAATCAACGAGCGACTTTAGTCGCAAGTTGATTATCGTTTCCGAATCCACTACTTCTTATCAATTCTCTAGCTTAACCCATTTCTAGTAAAACGACTGTCTGTTTTATGTTTTGACAATGAATCAACGGAATTTCATAAAAATAATTTCGTATTTTGTCTTTTTTATTTTATAATAGCTGGAAATGATTATATCCACACGGTTCACGTCTATATTTAAGTTAACATACGTTTAATATAACTTAAATGGGTTGTTAGCTCCCCTTTTTATTACCAGATTTCATACTTGTATATTTATATTTCATTTAATGCTTTATCATTACAAAGTATTTAAATTATATAGATTTTGGTATTTATTATTTATTCAAAAAGACATATATAAATATACAGAATTTATTTATCTTTTTTTGAATAGTTAAAAAATTGTAATTACCAAAATTTAGAAACCTTTGAAATTTACATATATAGTATTTAGCAATCTGCTATTGTTGACAGCTGACTAAGGATTGTCTACAATTTAACCGTACTAAGTCAAATACATATATTTAGCGTAGTTGCCATAATACTACAATTTCATGATGCTCCAGTTAATGATGCTTTCGGAAATAAATAAAATAATTGCTTAAGGTCTTTTTTGAACAATTATACATGAATTTTGTTTAAACTGTTTCCCTTTCATTAAGTTTAGATTATTTTTAACGTTATTACATTTGGCATCCATCGTAAACCAGTCAATAAACTGGTATTATCTGTGGTACGCATTCTGAATCTCCAGCAGAATTGCTCTTGCTACAGATGTACAATGTATAATTATGTAAATGTTTTACTTTTACATTCAAGCTGCTCATAGCGGTGATCGTCTAGTCGTTGGTACCGAAAAACATAACTGTGACATTAACAGTGCCAAGTTCAAACCTTGTACCCGAATTGAAATTTTTTCATTGTAATTTTTTTCTCGACAAAAATATTGTTTTAATCTTAGAGGTATTATATACTTCATTTTCATTTAAAGGCGATGATTTTGTTTCTATTTTTTACAATCAAAGAAGTAGTTTTACGGTCGTAGCTTATATATCACACTTTATTCAAATTAGAGTCCGTTCAATGTTGACGTGATGTATATGTGGACCATTTATAATCAAACAAAGAAAAAAATATTGATAGTACGATATCATTATAAGACTAAAACCATAAGTAAGTATTTGCTATGATAAAAAGGAAAAGTCCTTGTACGTTAAAAGTGACAAGTGTAATGGGCATATGAATGTTTATTTTATCAAGGAATTGCACTAATATATACAATTCCTTGATTCCCTAGTGTTTAGAACTAGTGTGTAATAGCCACAATCGTATAAAGACCCATCGGTTCATTATAACGATGTTGAAAATCGACCAATGTTCAAACCTGACATCGTGAATAAACTCTGTTTTAAGATATTTCCATACTGCTTATAACTATAATCAAGAACGTTCAAATGTAGAACATAATCTTCCTTAAAAAATAACGCCCAAAATAAAACAATTTAAATAAATTTGAAAAGAACATGAACAAATCCAGACATAGTATATATATTTTATTAGATAACAAAAGCGAATTATCTCTGAGACAGACATACAGTTTATTGACATGTATTGACAGTTGTGCGCTTTATGAGTGTTATTTAAACATTGATTTATGTCAGCACTTGTGGTATAGTGGTATCGTGCATAGACTGAAGACTACTGATTATGAAGAAAATACGCGCGAGTTCGAACCCTTCATATTCCACTCGTTTTTGAGAGGATAAAAAATCGTAAGTTAAAAGTTTAAAGTTATAAAATAAGTTATCTTAAGTTAACGAAGTGGTCAGTGGATTCTTGAAAAATAATCTACTGTAAGAACAATAGACTGACGTCAGAGAAATGGGTTAAATAGTATATACACTACTAAAAATAAATCAGGTAAAATATAAAAAAATAAGATAACTTATCCACAACATCAATTCTGTTCTTGACACACCAGGAAAAATCATTTTTAATAAATCATTATTTAAGAGTAAAATATATATACAACTGTAAAAAAATATTGTTAGAAGTTCAGTTATACTTGGATGTTATATGTTTTTTTCAAAATAATATACAAAACAGGATATGACATCATATAAGGTAGCACTTAGATTACACCCTGTTAGAATTTAGTCATTTAAAAGTTTACTTTAAACCTGGCAGTGTTTTTAAGCGCAATTAATGTTTCAAAATTTCTCAATTACTAAAAAGGTCTACTGTCTGGTACAGTTTCATTCTGCCAGCTTCATTCTAAATATAACACTAAAAGCTAGTGCTTCTAATGTTTTCAAAGAAATTTTTTGATTTCCCTTTTTTTAATAAGTTTTGATAATCAAATATGCAAACAAAAAGCTCAAATAGATAACTGTTTTCCAAATTACAAGTGCTCTTTCTTTAACAGGTGTCATACCATGTTTTCATGTAGTTATAAAGACACACACACACACACACAGATAGCCTACACCAATGATTCTTACCTATCTGATGGGTGAAGCCTGGGCAAATGATAGCAGCAGGATGAATATGATGTATTATACAATGAAATGTCCAAAAACCATCACACAATCAATTCATTCTGTATTTGTGCAGAGCAATTTTTTAAACATGATACATAAAAGTATTTCCCTAATTAAATGAGATATATGATTCAAATTCCTGTGATCTTTATTGTAATTTTAGTCCAATAAGTATTCAGCCTTTCTGAACTAAGTAGTAAATTGTAACGAAAATTAACAGGTACTTCTAAATTTTTGACTACTTTACTGGACCTAATTAAGATCAATGGTATCAAAACTTTTGTCAATATCAAGCAGTCATTTTGAATAACCAAATACTCTTATTTATGTTTTAAGCATCTTCAATGTTTCCAATACCACAAAATACAAAATGAATTCATAGAAAATGCTCACAGAGAATGTTGTCTCAATAATGATTATTTCTCATTAACTTTTGGTTAGAGTGTAAGTGTACAACAGTAAAGTTACACATAAAGATAAACAACATATTGTTATTAGAACTGAAGTATAATTAGTTTTAATTAAAACACAATTTTTCAGTAAAACTATTACACATCTATGTAAATTCTTTGAAGATTTTTTTACATTATGAAGATAAGGATTTTGTGCTATGTTTATGTGAATGTCCTTTTTTCAACAAATATATATCCTTGACTTTGTATGTAAAGAACTGTTGTTTATAATAACCCTACCTTCTCTCCTTAGTTTAGAAGATTTCTCCATTCTATCATAATTACTGTTCATACTTGTCTTTACATCAGCTAGTTTCATTTCAATCTCAGTGTCCCTAACACCAGTCTGAAGTGACCGGTCTGCTGTCATGTGTAGTATAGATTTAGGGTCAAGCAGGTCTGATACATCACGTTTATAAGGCACAGACATACGACTGGTCAGACCTGAATATTGGTCCAGGTAAGCCTGGAGAGCCTCAGTTGCAGATGTGAAGTCACGACTGCCAACCTGGATACGTGCACCATTACATTTGATTCTACAACTAGGTAGTGACCCTGCCAAGGGGCCATGTGAAAATCCTAATTCCATGATTATATCACTTAGATACTCATTTTATGATAAGTTTTTCGAAGTCTCTTTCTGGGCTCTTCAGGCTAAAAAGATAATTTAATTCACATTACATGAGGGTCATAAGAGGGTACCTTTATGACGAATAACAGTCAAAAATCAAACCAAATAATGTTAACAGAAATTTTTTATCAGTATTTGTTGTTACCGGTAATTTTTTATCAGTATTTGTCATTAAAAGTAATTTTGTATCAGTATTTGTCGTTACCAGTAATTTTTTATCAGTATTTGTTAAAAAAGGTAATTCTTTATCAGTATTTGTCATTAAAAGTAATTTTGTATCAGTATTTGTCGTTACCAGTCATTTTTTTATCAGTATTTGTTATTAAAGGTAATTTTTTATCAGTATTTGTCATTACAGGTAATTTTGTATCAGTATTTGTCATAAAAGGTAATTTTGTATCAGTATTTGACATTAACAGTAAACTTTGGTTCATGACAATAATATGTACATGTGCAAATTGCAACCTTTCGAAGTACACTACAGCTCGGGTGGATTTTGCTTTGTCCACCGGCCCACCATGGGATTGGGCACCGGGTGGGCAAAATTTGTACCTTGTCCACTCTGCCCACCTGTAGGAGTGGGCATTCAATTTCTTTTGTTTCATCTAAAGATTTGCAAGTACAATCACTTGAAAAAAGCAGATAAGCATTTGTAATCAATATTTTTACAAAAAAGAGATTATAGCTAGAGTGGGCAAGGGTGGACTGCCCACGGTGGGCCGGTGGAAAAAGCAAAATCCACACGGGCTGTTGTGTAATATCAGACGTTAAGTAAATATCAATCAATCCATCAAAGTAACCTTGGTGGTAGTATCTGGTATGTCTCGGTTAGACTTGAACATAAATGCAGGTTTCATTTTCTTCATGAAGATAAAAAAATTTTTTTAATGATTTTAACAGTAACGGTTAATTATTTGAGACTTCTGAAAGTAACCAAAATTTAACGTTTGATGCCTGAAGGTAAAGGGCATTCCTACTCTCTTACATGTAACCTCAATTGATAATCATTTTATTTTCAGTAAAAATGACTCTCAATGGACATTTTCTAGTGTATTTAAAGAAATAATCACTGACCATAAATTTGAAAATTCTGTTTTAAAAAACTTAAAACAAGTATTTCTTATTACTGGTCTGATAATGAACTACATCATGCATTGCACACTTATATATAACTTTGAAATACATTTGTACTATAACAAAACTTTGTAACCTTCATCATAAAGACTGTCGTTCCATTATAAATATCATCTGAATAATCCAAGATGCTATTCAAAAAAACTGATAATTTCACAATTTAAGCACTCATATATTTTGCAATAGGTTTTAACTAAATTTGATCAAGTTACAAGGTGGAAAATTGAAAGAAGGCCATGAAGTTATATAAGAAGAGAATGAAAGGCTTAACAGCCAACAATTGACAAATGTTATTCATGCATACATGTATATAATATACCTTTACATTGTCACAATATATATATGTACTGCTACAAGGCTTAGAACAAAAAAGAATATAAATGTACAAGGCTTTGCCCAGCCTTTCTATCCTGTTTGAAGCCTAGTAAAATTTTATGTTTTGAAAAATGTATGGTTTTACTGCTTAACTTAACACTAAATATCTTGGGTAAAATCAACAATTATGAAATCATTGTAAAATGAACTACATAAAAATTCCACTGACTAGTCACCTATATTCTTTCCAGACATCATAGATAAAACTCTATGGAAACACATTATTAACATCACAATGGTCAGTGACTATATAAAACCAAAAGTGTATGAGAACAATGCATTTTGACTGCACAAATAGCGCAGTTGCAGTTTAAAAATGATGCTTTAACACACAATAAATAATAACAAGAGATCAAGTTTGTGTTTCATAAGCCTGTAAACATTTAAAATCATATTTTGAACCAAAATAAATGATAACCTGAACAATGTTTTTGAGTTTTTATAAGCCTCTAAACTTCAGACATCAATCTTAGAATAAAAAATATCAGTTACTGTTCACAAAAACTTAAATGTCAGTAGTAAATAAGTTAAAGACTATAATTTATACTAACCATTACTAATGAAAATCTTAAGTAAACTGATAAGGTTATTATATTAGATCAATTACAAAATATAGTCCTTCCAGTATGCAGCAAAATAAACAATTGTAAGACCAGAAAATCTGTAGAACAGAATATTAAAATTTGTTTTACTTTACTTGGTCTATAAATTATTAGGAAAAGTTTGAAATTGCGCACATTTTGAATTACGAAAAATGTAAAGTTTCGAAAAAAATGAAAGAGTTTATGAAGTTTAAGTCTACACGGTCAGTAGTTTAGGTCAGAATTATATTGGAATTTGTAAGTGCACCAAAAATGTCAACAATGAAATTTTTTTTAAAATCAATGTGAAGTATTATCCATGTATATTGAATTTGAATGTAAAATTTTGAATAGCTGACTGCATTTAGTAAGCTTGCATATATATATTACCTTTGTGACTGCACAATTACTCTGACACACTCCACGTTAACAATGGAAACAAAAACTTATATGTTGTATATGTAGGATCATTTAACCTAAAGAATGATAGGTATTGCTCAGTTTTTATGGCATCTGAAGACATATGGTCATATCATTCTAATAAATGGTATTTGGGTTACTTGTGGTTCAAATTAAACATTTATGGTCCACTGACCACTATTCAAAATTAAACTGATTGGATTAAAAAATTACTGTATCATTCTTTAATTATCTGATTGAATTTTATCATTAAAGATTTAATTAGAAGATATTAATCCCTGTCTTAACCTTTGACATTGCAATAAATTACTAGCTTTTGTAAAAGGATTTACATAGTAAGTTCTATAGGTCTTTGTAATCTTTCAGAGAAGTCTTTTTTTAAACCAGAGTTAAGGCTACTGCATTTTGTTGCTCTCTCTAATAACATCATATTTTTTTCTCATAATCAAGCTTGAATATAAACTAAATAGCAAGGAATATATCATAGATGCGTCTTGCCTCATTCTTGTTATCTTGTTCTTTGGTTTATTCAATATTTATCTTTATTATTCTTAAATAGTTTGCAAATAAAACTTTAAGTACACATGTAATTATTATAACATCTCCTGAATCATATGATCTATAATGGATACTAAGTTTGATGTAAGTGCATTCAATAAATCTTTTTTTCTGAGACTATAAAATAATGAATATATGTTCACCCTACCATGTAAATATTTGTCTTTTGCTATATTTCCTTCTTCAATCTATAATACATGCTTTCTGTATGTTAAAAAATTGTACATGTACCTGAAATAACAAAAAAAACAAAACAATTAATAATAAGACATTACTTTTTTTAAAGTTTTTCTTCCATCTTCCTTGGACTGTGAAACTCTTTCCAAAGTCTATAAAGATACTTTTACAACTGAAGATCAAAGAGATCTGTTTGTCAAAAAGATAATGATTAGTAAAGATACACATGAGCAAGCCAGATGCCACATGTATACTAGAAAAGAATAGAAATTTTACATAAATTCCTTTACAAGTATACCTGCTTATCAATCCTCTTCAAAATGTAGAATTAACAATATGAAGAAGCTTGTTAAAGTCCTTCACCTAAACATGCTAAAACATCTAATGTTAATGGACAGGTTAACATTATACATACCCAACCATTTAACTTTGTTTAATCTTCTCTGAATACAACACTTTAAACTTACAAAAATATTTTACCGTTTAAAAGATTTTCAACTGAAAGGAATTATTTCTTTCTTTTTAATTTTGTGTAATTAGAGTATATGGTACGTTGAGCAAATTCTATAATGTGTTTTTTGTTGACCTTCTCATTTGATTTTAAAATGTTTATTTATGATGGAAATCTTCATGCTATTACATGTCTGCAGTCATATTATATTTTACAGTTTATTTGGTGTTATATTATTGTGTACGTGACATTTTGAAGCTGTAATACTGACTGACAAGATTTTACCTTGCTTATTTCTGTACTTAAGCAATGTAATACCAGTGTGGTAATTTAAACTGCTGAGCAAAATAACTGGGTAGAGATCCAATTACAAAGAAGTATTTGTTAAAAGTACCAAATCAATTTGTGCAAGAGGACCATTTTGATGTCAATTAAAATACACTGACATCAGAACAGCCCTAAATGGGACCCTTTTGCAGACTTACACACCAGAAAGACCTACATGTATTTATTAAATTAATTTTAAATCTTGCTTATTTTAACACTGATTACTTCTTATTTGTTTTGAAATTTCAAAAGAAAAGTGACAGTTTCCAGAACCAAAAAAATTTCATCACAACAGCCTGCTATCAAGATATCCTCAAAGAATTTTTCTCATCTTTTTAAATTAGCAAAGATCTTTGCCAAAATATACTTTGTATCTAAAGTCCCAAATCAGGCTGGATATCTTTTCAAAATTTTGATATACTAATTGCCAAATTAAAGACAGGGTCAGTCAACCCCATAAATCAAAAAAATGCAGTTGCAATATGCAATTTCTTTACAAAGCAAAAAAGTAGAAATGTTTTCATTGAAAAATCAATTGTTCATATTGCAATTGTTTACTAACATACTTCTAGATCTCATTTCCAGAAGACTTCAAAACTGACCCATGACCATGCCTCATGAAGTGTGAGTGCAAGTTAAAGGTGGCCAGTCGTAAGGCAAAATTTCATCTATCAAACATGTCCAACATGCACTGACATGCCCATATTTCACAGTAGCAGTCCTAAATTTCCTCCTACTCCCTGTTGACTAACCTTTTGCATTTATTGCTCATTTGTTCTCCTCCTGAATATGCATGAGAAATTTGCCACTAAACAATCTATAAATCTTTCCATGTATTACTACAAAAGGCTACAAAATATATCTATAGTTGCTTATTATCCACATCAATTGGTCTCTTTTAGCTGGTCATCTCACTGGCAATCATATCACATTTCCTTATTTTATATAACAAATGTCTTACAATTACCTAGCATTGAATAAATTACATTTGACACAGAAATGTTTGGACTATCAGCTAAGTATAAATAGTGATTAATGTTGATTATTCTTATCATTTATAACTAGGTACCCACACGATCTACTTTGATTTACAAAGTTAAGATTCAGGAGACAAACATAGGGATTACTGTAAGCAAAAGTATCTCTTTATGTCATTTGCTTTATCATGATTTATGCATACTTGTGTACTTGGGGTAATCTATTGCAAATAGAACAAACAGTCAATCACAATAGATAACAATGTTTTGTTAAAACATTTCATAGGTAGATGAAAACACTTGTTTAAATTTACAAAAGATCTTAGATTGACAGTATTTTATTGACACAGAATGGTGAAAATTTACAATTTATTTGAAACAGAAATGGATTTTTGTTTGCATCAGAAATCAAACAAATAAATCTATCTTCTGTGAACTTAAATCATGATTTATTTCCTTTAATATCAGGCTTCTTTAATATGCTACTTGTTAATTTTGCTACATAGAAATTAAATGAAAACTTAACATATGTGTAAGAGATAAATTAGTCCTGGTAAAGTGTGTCTGCACGGACACATATTACTAGAATAAACAGTCCATGGTTACAGAATTTACTACAATTTTTAGTCCTAAGACTTATTTTCCTAGGAATTCATGTCCATGCCATTAATATTCCTAGGTAAAAACTTCAATGTCCTTTATTTCAATAGGAAAATTTGTAAGGAAGGAAATCATTTACATGTAAACAATGGAATTTTTAATTGTTATGTTTTAATAATTTGTTTAACAGTTGTGCATTAATTTTTTAATCAAATTCATGTCCCCAGACTAATTTTCCTAGGAATTCATGTCCATTTTATTAATATTCCTAGGTTAAAATGTCCATGTCTTTTATTTAGGGGAAAAGAAGTGCCAGACATACATGTATTTTACTAGCTATGGACTTAATTTCCTAGGGAAATTTATAATTTATTCTTGGCTAACATTCCTAGGAAAATTATGGTCATGGACTTGATAACCTAGGGAAAAAAGTTCGCTCCCATTCACGTTCACCCCCTTTGACGTTTGCACCCTTCCTGTTTGCACCCTTTTTAAAGATTTTGTGTTGAACAATTTTTCATCATGTTTTGGTTAGTGTATTCATTTCCATGTGTCAGTAAGCTTGAAGCAATCATATACAATCATTCAAATCATGCTCTGTTCCAAATCAAAGAGAGCACTTAAAAGCTTAAAGGTTATAACAACAATCATGATTTTCAAACACATAACAATAATACCAAACCAAATTAACTTTGTTAATATTGATTAACAGTAATCATAAATAAGTAACATTTAATACTTAATCATCTAAGATGCAAAAATAGTTTTCCATTCTCAATTCTAAAAAATATTGATTTTTTTTCATGAAAACATAAATATTTTGATTTTTACATCTTAAAAACATCTAATATTAATAATAAGTCGACCTGTATTTGAATAGAAATATGGTGCAATGGAATCAGGGGGTGAATGTGTAGGGTGCTAACGTGTAATGGGAGCGAACAGACTTGATTGTTGTTTAATGTCCTTACTTCAAAAGGTTGAATGTGTACATTTTATTGTCATGCACCAAAATTTACCATTAGCATCAAATACAGAAAAAAAATCATTGTAACTTTATTTGACTAGATTATTAGATTTATTACCTTTTTACGCCATGAAGGTACTTCGATCATTACCACCCTCATAAAATGCTTGAAATTCAGGTAACACCTGTTTCATATCAATATAAAATAAAGTCCTTTGTTTAGGGTGGTCAGAAGAAATTTACCCATGAATAAATGATGTGATATCCCTTCAGTTCTTGTATTGGAAGTTCCAGTGATGTTTCTTCCGTTTAACCTGTCTACAACTGTACAAGTTTGGAGTCAAAAAGACATTGAACTTCCGTGTTTTTCTTATTTCTTAAAGTAAAAATTATTCTGGTACTTCATGATAACTGTAATGCTTAAACTTACAATCACAAAAGTGTCAACAACTTCTAAAAATTCATTGAAAAAATAATAATTGCAAACATGTCAATACTTGAAAATGAATGGCCCAATTTTTTTAACGGTTTATATAAGATATATGTGCTCTTCGTTGTTGTGAATTTGACAGTAAAACAACAAAGTTTAACTTGAGTAGTAGCTTCTATTAAATAGTCTTACCCAAAGAAGCAAAAAGCATGAAAATCCGTCGAGAAGGTAAACAAATTTTAAAAGAGTGCGCTGAAGCAGAAGATGTACGCTAAGGGACGTAACTCTATGAACTATCTGAATACTAAAAAAAAAGTCAATATAGCAGAGCATCAGCATTTGCATATATTTATTTCCATACTTGTGAAAAACGTGGCAATTGTTCTTTTTCATTCAGTTTCATGCAAATTCAGTGTCATGCAAATTCAGTTTCATGCAAATGTGAAAAGTGAAAATTCTTGACAAAAGCAAGGCTAAAAGATTAAATAATAAAATAGTCTCTTTCAAATGCAAATTGTAAATAGATATAAGAAGATGTGGTATGAATGCCAATGAGACAACTCTCCATCGAAGTCACAATTTATAAAAGTAAACCATTATAGATCAAAGTACGGTCTTCAACACAGAGCCTTGGCATACACCGCACAGCAACCCTTCCGGAACACCTGAGATCACCCCCAGTTTTTGGTGGGGTTCGTGTTGCTTAGTCTTTAGTTTTCTATGTTGTGTCATCTGTACTATTATTTGTCTGTTTGTCTTTTTTATTTTTTGGCCATGGTGTTGTCAGTTTGTTTTCGATCTATGAGTTTGACTGTCCCTCTTCTATAAAGGGACCCAAAAATTACTAGTGTAAAACCATTCAAACGGGAAAACCATCTGTCTAATCTATATCAAAAACAAGAACCGAGAAACACTTATGAACCACATCAACAAACAACAACTACTGAACATCAGATTTCTGACTTAGGACAGGTGCAAATAATTGCAGCGGGTTTAAACGTTTTAATGGTACCAAACCTTCACCCTTATCTGAAACAATAGTGTAACATCACAACAAATAAAGACACACTATAAAATATCAATTGAAATGGTAAGAATGTTTTTTATGATTGATTGATTGTTATTTGCTTAACATTCAGTGGTTAATACTTTGTGCTTGTGAAGGTCAATATATACATTTATTTACATATACTATTAAATGAAAATCATATGCTTGTTTAGAATTAAATCAGCTGTTTTAATACACAAATTGGCCAAGGAGTAATACAACCATTGTTTCCCCTATTAGTCTTTGTTAAATTGGCATTTTTCAAAGAAGTTGTGCAGAATTTATCTTTGTTTCAAATAAAGAAATAATTAGCATGAGTAAAGTTTTATCCTGTCAAGTAATACAGTGAATATTTCACTTAACATTTCGTTTCATATAAGATAATAACCATCACCAGAAGGAAACCAATCAAATGTTCACCCCTTTTATTCCTGTTTACAAGCTCTAGTAACCATGTCGCCTCAAGTTTCCAAAATATTTTATAGAAACACCAAATAAAAAAAGAATGATGCTTTGAAACACCCAAGATATATTATTTTCTGCCATGAAATGCAGCGTTAATTTCCTACAACTGTCAAATTCAAGGGAATAATTTTTTTGACCCT